CGGTTACTCCTCCCTGCCACTAAAAATCACGGTCCAGTGGCTCGGACGATCAGTAGTTAGCATGTTTACAACCTCCATCTCAAGAGTTCATTCAAGGGCTTCTCGATGATGTTCACTTGCTACTACTACCTCACCTTCACCAATTTTATTTAACCTTTGTCCCCTCCTTTCATTTCACCGCTATGGGTGAGCCAGCTAGCTCTTCATTTGAGCCTGTCATATGGCACGTTTTGTGGTTGGGCGTTCTAAATGCACGAATTACTGACTAATTTTGTTCACAGAGAGACAAAGACTTAAATTAAAACAACATTTTACTGAGCCCCATTGGCGAAGGTGAATGCACATGAGGGACATTTGGTTTTGTCTTTCTTTAAATCGACCAACATTTAAGCCATTTCTCTCTTGTCGGGTGTGCCGGAGTGGGGTCTCTCTCACAACCCCTACCACTCCCTCCTCTTTGCAGCATTTGCATGTTAAGATTTATTTAAAGAAGTGAAACTTGATAGGGCGAGAATGAGGAATTGCATTCTTTGCATCTGGCTAGTTGACTGAATTACACATGCATATACTGAGCTTTTCCACAACCAGATGTTGGATTAATGAGTAATTTTCTAGTTTCCCTCTTTATTTTTCTTGACGCCTTATTTTTGTGTATTTGTTTCCAATAATGAGGCGAAAAGGTGCTTTCGAATCTGGTGCTCTAACATGTCAATCAAACCATCATTCTACTTCCACTGTCTTGGTGTGTTCCTATGCTTGGACAAACGTTCATGAACAGTGTGGAACACTTTGAATTCTATGAGGAATGGACGTAGGTGGTTGAGTGAATGTGCTCAATCATAAGTGATATGTTTGGCGCCTTTAAATTTGTGATTGCAAACTACATTACCGTCTGCAAATCTTTGGCACTTGGATTGGTGGGTTGGGATGCTGACGCGATTTGCGAGTCCCCTTAAGTCTGGCTCCCCACAATGGTTGTGAGTTGGAGGTCGGGTAGTGGTCTGAAATATCTAACAATTGCTCTAGACAGTGGACATTTTATGGCTGAAGTGCACTTTTGTGCAGCTGTTGTCTGCTAATTCTAAAACTCGTGATGGCGATGACGTGTTCCCAACCTCCTTTTGGCCTTTTGTGAGAGTGCAAAACCTACGACAGTAAAAGTAGCAGGTAGACACCACTCCGAATCACGTGATGAACATCAATGAGGGGATTTATTAGGCAACGCCTCTAGAATGCTGTGTTGCACCTTCTTTACAAAGGGCTCAGCGACATCGAAAAGCTATTGGCTAAACTTCAGTGGCACATCGCACTGATTGGTCAAACGACTGCATGAATTAACCAATGGAAATGGGAAACGTGGCTGCCATTAGGGATGATTCCGTAATGTCACATGCATCTCGCCACCATTCGATCGAAGGAGGGTACGACGGAACGATGGCCTCAACTGATGCCGACCTCACTTGTGGCGTGTGCGCAAAATTGTGAGTCATTTGTTTTTAAATGACCTCTTGATTGTGGTGCCGGCCGTATGCAGGAGCATGAAGTAACACCAAGCTGTCTCACACATGAGAAATTAAAGTTCGCAAGTGTTTTATAATTCACTGATTCAACTGAGAGATTTTGCACAGTCAAATCTGTCATTTACATCAACAGACAAGCGTAATATTGCTACCTAGCATGGGTTTTAAGGTGCGTAAGACGGTGTAGGTGAAAAAAGCGCTCAAGTTGTGGGTGGGGCTGATGAAGTAAAAATTCCCCTATAGGGAAAGGAGCAATAGGAGGAATTTGGCACAATGATGGTTAACGGTGAGATTGGGATGGAAGAGATGCCTGAGTGAAGGAATGGTGTGGTAGGGTTCGAAGTCTTCCAAGTGTAACTAAACCAGAGGGGTTACAAGTGCATTAGCAGATGTAATGGAGAGAGGCATTATTCTGGACAAGGAAGCGGTTAATTTTTTTCTTATTTTGCCATAAAGGATCAGTGACCCCTACAGTCTGCCATGTGGGCATACCTTCTGTTTGCGGCCCTGTCTGTTGTCACATGCCAGGGCCGTGACAGCGCGTTGCATCCACTGCCATGTGGAGTATGACGCAGCGGATTTGCGTCCCAACTACGCCATTGGGGCGCAGCTCTGTCTGCTCTCCTTGCAACGTAAGGAGGAGCAGGAGCGGACGCAGAATCAGATGCAGCAGAGCGGAGGGGCAGGCGAAGAGGAGATGTTGATTGATAGAAAGGGGACTAAAGAAACCCCGCCCACCTACGTATGTTGTAGCACCTGCCGGAGGCAAATCCAGACCAAACTGTTGACCTTTTGCCATCACTGCCACCTCCAGGTCTGTGTGAATTGCCATGAGAAACACCGCGACACTGTAAGCATCAGTAATTTGCAAAATGCCTTAATACGGACCAATGAGTGACCCATGACTAGTTTTACAGATTTGGTATTGTCAGGAACCAATGATTGTGGTGGGGATGTAGTAGCTTGGTGCATGCATAGCAGACATCTGAATGCCTTGTGCGGACATGGTTTCGATGAAAGAGACTTGAATGGTCTTATACTTACATCTATTCTGTCGGTCTGGCCGATTAAGGTGGTAATCAAAGCTGAAGAATTGTGGTTAACCACAGATTAGGTGTATCCAGCTTTTAATTGTTGTAAACGTGAGTACGACGCTTGGGCCACGAGTTGATTCCACCAATTCCAGGTCTTAAAAAGTGTTAAGAAAGTCGCAGAGTTAAGGGTACACCTGTACATTTCACTTCTTCTTGCTTGCTTTCCTTTTCTCCTCGCAGTACAGCCTGAGGCTGCGTGTGAAGTTGAATGCCCTCTCTCGCCACAAAGCAAACTTAACGTCGCGCCTAATGGAGCTGAACAGGCTGAAAACCTCGATACTGGGGATGGGGGCAACTACAAAGGACGGGATCTTTGGTGCCATGGAGAACGCGATCATGGAGTTGCGTGCGGCAGCGAGCAAAGCGCTAGAAGCTGCCACAGCGAATGTGGAGGTGACGGATGTGGCCGGCTTCGAGATTTTAGACGAACTGGTCAGTCGTATCACGAACCTTTCGACCGAGGTCGGCAAGGTAAAAGATGTCCACACGTCAATAGAAGAGACGAAGGTGAGTGTCAGTGGATGATGGACAGAGCATTGAGAATTGCCCCGGTTGTTACTCCGAACTACCCAATTCCCTCCTTCCCTCATTCCTCACCCCTTCTGTAAATTTTACTTACGTATTACTTCTCTCCTGTAGGATTTACAGGAAGCGGTGAAGATGCATAAATCGCTGGAAAGACTCCTTGTTGATGCTGCGCCATTGGGGGAGATGATGAAAAAACTACCGCCTCTGCCCATAACGAAGATGCATCTATCTGATAGCTTCGAAAAGGCAAGCTAGTAAACTCACAAGCCTTTGCGTGTGTATGTGCATGTGTGGAGACGCGGTTAAGTGAAATAGTCCTATTAGACGGTCATTACAGAGGTGGTGGCGTTTTCAATCCTAACTCGAAATAAGAGCGATTTGTGTGAACAATGCATTCGCCAACTGTAATCACAGCTACCGAATCAGAAGACCACTTTCCATCTGTGGTCTGAGGGTTGAAGGATGGGTATCTTTGTAAAGGCAATGCGTAGCTTACCCTGCTTGGGCTCCGGAGCCCATTGGTGGGGAGTGATTACCTTTGATGAACACTTAGTTCTGTCCCTGTTTAGATTAACCACCATTTGAGCGACTTCAGTCTCGTTGTGTGTGATGGAGTGTTGTCCCTTCCACAACTTCTACGACTCTCTCCCCTCTGCAACACTGGAGATCAAAAGTAAGTGTGGCAAGGCAATTGTACGTTTCCACTTTATATATCTTCGGGGAAGCAGAAAGTGTTGGTGCGAGTAAAGTGATTAAGGTTTCCTCTTTTCCCAAGCCCTGTGAGAGGCGGATGCGTTGGACCCAGGATGAAAGTGAAAGTAGACGAAGATAAAGACAAAGAAGAGAGGGGGAGGGGGCAAGGGATTTTAGTAGGCTAAACTAGGGCACTCACAATCTGGGAGATGATTGATGATGTTGATGGTGTGCCTTGAAACAGAAACGTCACCTCGTCCATCACCACCATGACGATGTCTCGGGTGAAGCTATTCGTGGGCGGACTTCGGCCAAATCACACTGAGGGTCAGCTACGTCAACACTTTGCCCAGTACGGTACCGTTATTGAGTGCTGCATTGCGCGAGACTGCAATACAGACGAGTCGAGGGGCTTTGGCTTTGTGACCTTTCGGGAGGCGGCACAAGCTACTCGGGCACTGGCCGACAGGCAACATTTTATCGACGGGGGTCCCGTGCACGTAAGACCCTACAATTTGAAGAAGAAGGAGAAGAAGAAAGAGAAGGAGAAGTTGGTCATCGTATCCTCGGTCAAGTAGGTCAATCTTTTATTTAGACTGAGGACTTGGGGATTCTCCACTATGAGTCCTCATTTTCTCTCTTTTATATTTCGGTTTCGTCGCATCTTTACCTGTGTATGGATAGCGAGTTTTCTCCACGCTGTTTGGCTCGAATGCCGAAGACGCAGAAAGGAAGGGGGAATTGTTGAGGTAAAACCATAGCACACACTAGGCAGTTTTCTGTCCTCAGGATAGTGGGGGTTAATCAGGCTCAACTAGATTGGCATTGAGTTAAGGAAATGCACATGTCTGTTAGGTGAAGTGGGACGGAGAACTCCGGTGAAACGGAATAAAGAAGAGAGTAGGAGAAAGAAGATGGATGTTGTTTTAGAGCTAGAAATGTACTTTTTGCTATATGTTTGTAATCTGTGGATACAGCCAGTATGGGAGTGAGCACATGGTGGAGTGCTTGTGGTTCTAGCAGAATGATGGCTGGAGTCTGCCGATTGGAACACCACAAGTTCAACAAATTTGTGCAGAGTATTGTAGGCTGATTAATGTGTGGAGATATATGCGACCTAAGGGTAATGTGGTATTAATGTATTTCGGGAATGAGGGGGACGAGAATGTGGGGCACAAGGATGAAGGTGGTGGCTCCGGGTCTAGGCGAGACGTGAATGAGTTGCGCCTATCCGTTGGTAATCTGAGCACTTCCACCGGGCAGCAGGCCTTGAAGGAGTACTTCTCTCGCTACGGCAACGTTACAGGTGTGGACATAATTCTAGAGCGTAAGAGTGGAATGCCACGAGGTATTGCTTTCGTAAACATGAGCACACCACAAGAAGTGGAGGCTGTTCTAGAGGCGCGTCCTCATCAACTGAGTGGGAAAGCCATCATCGTACGACCTGCATATTTACGAGCTTCAAAGTGAGTTGTTCTGCCCTTGTAGCACTGGGAGGTATGTGTTAGTGTACCTAATCACTCTTTTCGTTCATTATCAGAGAAGCAGCAACTTTAAATGATGGCAAAACTGATCATCTATTGGTTGTTGACAACATTTTGCCTTCTTGGAGTGGAGAGTTTATTTGATACTTCTTCAGTCAATTTGGTGCAGTCGCCAGTGTGAGACTGGATCAAGTAATGCGCAAAGCCTTTGTCGTCTTCTCCACTACAGAGGCGTTCCAGAATATGAGGAGAAAGTACATTATCTCCATCGATGACGAGCATATTCTCATTCGTCGTGTTGATGGAACTTGTAGTGTAGTCAATCCTCTATTCTCGATAAAGAACGTTCAAGCCTATTACCTTTATCAGACTTGATCCAGTTGAAGGTATTTTAATTAACTTCTAGGGATTAGTGCTGCAAAGGAGGTAAATGAGTGGTCTTGACACATTTTATGTTCCAGTGCCATGTATTTCCACTTTGGTGTGGAGAGTTGAATACGAATTTTGACATCAGATCAGCGTACCTACTGAGCAAATCATTTAAAAAATTAGTTTTTAATGAAATGGTAATCAGAATGTACTATTCAAATGGATGTAGTTTTGCTGCCCTCTCACTTTGTGTTGTGAGAAGTTCACCTTAAAGCTCTGCCTCATAGAGGCAGGTCAACCATCACACCAACCTCTATACCGCCTTGTCCGTATATGCCACCAGATGTCACTAATATTTGAGGGCAATGCTTATAACCTAATAAATAAATGAAGTGAGTGGGTTTGGTACGACCATTAGTTGTAACCCAACCGGCAAAGCGTTCATGTCACGCATATGTGACGTCTGGTTCAGCTAAGGAAATTGCAGTTACACACCTGCGACACTTGTAGGGGACGCTTTATGTTGTCAAACGATCCCATTTTAAAGTCCTTTTCCACTCCAAATTGCAGTATTACAATATAACAGTCACTTTGTCATATGAGTTCACCCTTAGGTCTGTTGTTTCGGGAAATATGGTAGGCAAACCGAGGTCTGCTTTCTCCGACCAATAAGTAGTCATAAAATATGTTTTAATTTCTAAATAGTTGCTTGTGCGGTACAACGGAACGTCGCCCTGACTGATTTCTGTGTATCATCATTTGATACTGTGACTGTAGTCCCGCAATGGTTTGAGTTTGACCATTAGCTTAAAACAATGAGGCAGAGGGAACCAATCCAGTGTGATGAAATAGTGGCACAGTGCCTGTCCGGAGGTGCAGAATGGCCTGAGTTGTACAGCGATCACGAAGCAAGAGGTGGGAGGTTAAGAGGAACCCATTGGAAAATGCCCGTGTACGACTAGCTTTGCTTCTCATGCTCTCATTTGTTTTTACAGGTCCGTTGCTTTGAGTGAACTAGGTAAATGATGATAGAACAGTACGTATTCTTGAGCCTGAAGATGTTGTACTGAGCCCGTCACTGCTACTCGTTGGGACAGAACTTCGTTGGCCTTGACGCTGAAGTGTGGGCAAATTTGGACGGAGAAAGGAAGAGTCCTTTCCAAAAAAAGATATTCCTGTCAGATTGTCTTGACATCTGAATTTTGGTGACTAGCTGCCGGGCCTTCTAGACCTTGACATTCTCGTTCAGCTCCCCCTGGTCTCCACCTATGGAGTTCGTTTCCTCTTCAAGGGGCTAATGGTATCCGCTCAGTGACGAGGCCCTTACACATTAACCGTTTCTGGCCTAAAAGGTAGATTCAAACAAACTTGTATTTCATAGCCCACTTCTCTGGCGAAGCACCGGTCCCTGTGCTATTTCCAGTGGACTTCTTGCCTCCTTAGTAATGCACACTTCATCCTTGTATTCTCCCTCCGTATTTGGAAGCGTACCTTCGTTGTGGTGAGCCATCATTGGATGATGGAATGTGCATTGTACTCTAGATGGCGGAACAAGCCTATATAGGTGTACTGGGTCTCCTTCTCGGGTTACACTAGGCTGACGGTGCTTATCATAATATCACTTCACTCTGATATATGACAGTCGAAGGTTTTGCCCTGCTGTGTAAAGTTTGTCTCGCCCCGTCTTTCAGTCCCAGTACGCACTCAGGAATATTGTAAGTTGCTACTTCCGTGTTAAATAAGAAAGTATCGGTTGATGCTCTCATTCCATCACCTGTGAACACCTTGAACAGTGCAACGCGCGTTCAAGGCATAAATTTCAGTCTTGTAGTCATGCATCCCTAAGGAGAATCTTCAGCAGTCAACTCACGGTGCATTCTGATCTTCCCACCTGTCAAATACCTTAAGGAAGTGCAGGTGTCACGCAAGTCTTAAAAATACTGAGCTATGAAATGGCACCGTTGCAGCTCCTCGTATCACTGTGCTAACTAATGGTCTAGCTCCTTCATTGTCTTTAGCCAGGTCAGGGCCTGATAATCTGTTCTCACTATGACCTTTCTTGCTGTCAGGTAATGTCTGAAATGTCTAATCATTGTAAAGACATGGAGCCTTTCAAGTTGAGTTGCAATTTTATGTCTTATTTGCCAGCTAATTTTGAAATTCGCTTGATCCATGATGTATTTCCTACCTTCTTTGTCCCTCTACGAGAGTACACCGTCACTAGCGTCGGTATCCAGTACAAATGGTGAAGCATTTGATTTGGGAGGTGGTAATGCTAGAATTTGTGCAGTGCAACGCAATCACTTCATTTCTTTACACGCATCACCCTGATCTTTCATTTGAAACACTTCTTGGCTGCTTTTCTGTCATTTTATGTAAAAGGCTTGCGATTTTGGCAAAAATTTTGAAAAAAGCCTATAATAAGCTCCCAAACCCTTAAGAACTACGAAGTTCCGCTGGATTGGATGGTGTTAGTCGGGCCCTCACTTGATTGTACGGTTTTTAGTAACTGCCGTTTCATCTAACTAGAGAGTATGTCCCGAAAAGTTGACCTAGCGTTGCAGAAATTGACACTCTTTTATATTCAGAACCAAACCTGCGTCTTATGGACCGTCCACCACTAATCTGAGGATGGCGTTTTACTCCTGAACATCCCTACCGAAGACGAGAATATCATTCTGGTGTACTATGCAATGTTTTAAGGATGATACGAGGAGTGCGGTTTGTATGTTTTGTAAACTCGACATTACAAAGGCCAAAAAGTACTAACTAGAATCCATAAAGCCCATTCGGCAATGGTAGAGCTGTCTCCTCCCTATCCGTCTGTGGCACTTCCACTTACCAGTATCCCGATTTAAAGTCTAACATGCAGAAACACTCTGATCTATTTGGAAGGTATAACGATTCGTTTACGTGAAGTGGTGGAAAAAGTTCCCGCTTCAGTACTACGCTCATCTTCCTGCAGTTGTCCCACAACTGAAGATCTACATTCTCTTTCTATACCATGGTGATTTTGATGGCTTTACAACCTCGTCTCTGATCATCTGTTTAAAAAGACGGTTTACTTTCAGCAGAGATGATATGGGCCTGGGTAGCTGTCGCATCAGTCTAGCTGTCGCCTCATCTAAACACCTTACCATGAGAACGTATTCGCCTACTTAACCAGTAGCTCGCGATGTTCTTTTCTCTTGATATCGGTGACAAGGGGAAGCCGCTCGGATGCCGTCTAGGGTGCTCGTGGAGACAGCTGCAGCTTTCAATAAGGCATTGTAAATATTGTCGACGTCTTTCCTCAGTAAAGGGCAGTCTCGACTTCACGGTCTTGGCGGGCGGAGATGGTGCCTTCCGCATAATTCAAGACAGTTTTCATACTAAGTAGGAAATCGGCTCCAAGAAACACGTCTCAAGTCAGTTCAGAACATATTGAAAATCTCATTGTGCAAGTTTCCTAGCCTACGCTGGCATGAAACGACGTCTCTCCTTCTACTACCATTTTTTTACCAAATTTAGTCTGCTGGATGGGAAAACGATCCTAATCTTGTGATTAAGAGTTCGGGATTGCTTGGAAGAATGAATGGGGACCAGTTGAGAATAAACAAGATATGGAAAAGGAAGGCTCACCTAGTTATTAGGTATAACGCGAGGGTTCCCGATACGTGGGTGTTGGGTTAATTCGCCTGTTGTGGTGGTTGTAGCCCGGAAGCGTAAGCAACTCCTTACGATTCCTCGCCGAGAACTTTCTTGGCTCGCTGAGAAAGTTCATTTCTATGCCCTAGAGCTTCCCGATCACAATGGCCTTCATGTCGTAACCACATCCGCATTCCAACACACTGAAATTCCACTACTAGCTAATCATGATTTTATTCTTCTTTACTAATCTTTTTAGCGTTTTATGACCATCTCTGATGCATTCCTGTGGTTCTTTAAGGCATGAGAAGGCATTCTAAGTCAAGAGAAGTAGATGGAACATCTCAACCACAGTGCTACTCTATGTGGAGACCTGGCAGAGCTAAAGCACACTCGCAAGTCGGCTCCAGTTACTCACTTCCACAGAACATTCAATGGTGTGTCGCCTTTTCTTTCAATCTTAACATTTCTACCCTGCGCGTTGGTCTGCATCTCATGTCACTTTCCTGTCTCGCCGTTGCGTGTGCTCTCCCTCATACCTCGACTCCAGAAATCCTTTTCTCGTATGTACCCTTCCACCCCATTAACCACTAGTCAACACCTCACCTGATGTTTACAACTTCAGCAATGAATTTCCACATATGGCATCCTCGGAGAACATTCACAATTGCAAATGCGTGTCTACTTCCTCCCATTGTCTTCGTACCTATCAAATGCATATGCTTAAATCTCAACTTCACTTCCACATCACTTCGCTCTATTCCGTACAAGTTCCCAAACCCAACCGGTGGACTCGCGCTACTGAAATAACCATAAGGGATTACGAGTAATTAACAATGAAGCGGAAATTTATGCAGGTTGGAGAAATAAAGATCTTTGCTTTTCACTCTTTCTGTGTGTGTTTAGTATCCGCTACTTTTGACTCTTATCTAAGCATTTCGAAACTCTTCTCATTTGTAGATATACTACCTCAAAACCGAGTAGAAGGTAGGTCTCTCGAGGGAAGAGTAGGAAGCGCTGCAAAGTATCCCCACCTTTTCCACTTTTCTCGAAGACATTTTGGCATTTCTCGTTTTATTTGTACAAAAAAAAGGTAATTAAAGTGATATTCAAATGAAGTTTCCTTGATAGCAACATTAATCTCATGTGCAACTCACACTGCCCAGGATTTGAGTTTCATACAATCTAATTTAGTGGGAGACGGTTTTAGGTTGCGATTTGGCATGCCTAAGCAAACATCTGCATGGAGGAGTTGCATAGGGGAGAAAGTGAGAGGAAAATGCACGATAATATTTTGGTATACTTCCTATCGAGTAACTGACATTCCCTATCAGTAAAGAACTACAAGAGGGAATGTGAGGTCAGGACACATTAGCATTACGATTCGGAGCCCCTTGAAAGCATCCTTGTGTAATTCACCCGCCGAGACAGCACTGTACAAAAGCTCCACTCAAATGCCTCTATTAGACCAGAATGGAATGAGAAACTCACATCTCTCGTGATCTCCAAATTTCATCCACCAAATTAGCTCCTCTCTTGTTTTTCATAATTGTGAGTACGCTTTCGAAGTTGTCTCATACATAAACTAGTAGCATTGAGGACACAAGTAACCAACATTCTGTGGCCTCTGCAACTGCACACACTATATTTCACTTTAAAGATAAAGTAAAGCGACTTTATTAATTAACTTTATTCCTCCCAGAGAATCGCACAATGTGATTGATTGACAACTGAGCCATCATGACAACGCTCCAGTAAATCTTGGCTAAACAAGCAAGGACTCAGTCTCAAGCACGATGTAGCCAATTGGAACAAGACCTAGGTGACCTTGACCTTCGTGAATGGAACCCCATGAATGCAACATTCACAAGTCGTTGTCAAATGCAAACCACCCGATATTGAAATAAACCGGACTTCTCATTGCCGGAAAATAAACTAACATATTGTAATTGCGTTTTGAGGAATAAATGCAAGCCACACCGTCAATGCTATCTTCTCTGCAAATATTATGGTGACTTCAAGCATAAGGTTTTTGACATTCCTTACATCAATCACTATTTTCTATGGAAATAAGTCAGTCAGACTACCTGTCTTTGAGCGCCTTCCTTTCACTCATGTGATCCAACTTCACTCAGCCATAGGACAATTACCCACTCTCTTTCCCGATCAAAAGGGAGGCAGATGCAATGCTAGCTTCCATTACAACTCACATCTTTCTACACAGCACTACATGCATTACATCCCTCTGCCGGATTCTCGACTGACACCGAAGTACGCCACCTAACAACACGCTTCATCAAAAAATCTCTACTCCACTCCGACCCCATCCACGCTCCAAGAAGAACTTCTGGGAAAAGGGACTAGTTAGAAAAAAATTGCTGCTTTTATTCGGGACAATTACATACGTATGCGCTCACCATCGGCGAATAAACAGATACACGCCAATGTACATGCATGAGTGTATACAAGTGAAGAGGACTGAAGTAGGTAAGGAGTGAGATACCAAGTAAAAGTCAACAAAGGTGGGATCAAGCATCACATTTATCCGAGAAAGTTTTGAGATAGAGAAGGCTAGACACACCCATTTCCGTAATAAAAAGGATCAGTGAGAAAATGCAGGAGAGAAGAGACACCTTGAAATCAAAAAATAAGGATCTTATGCACCACTACATTCTATACTTGATGCATCCTACCTGACAGTAAGCTTATACATTTTCTGGCACATTTCTCTCCGTCAATTCACTATTAATTCACCAATTCATTTTACTTATTATAATTTCAGTAAAACAGGTTAACAAACAAATGATTTAGGTATCACCAGTAGTTTGTTTTACAAAGACCAATTTTTATTAAGCACTATTAAATTATGTTGTAAGGGTAATGCCTGCGTACTGATAAGATAGGACAATCTACAAGATTAGATGGTTTCCACCAGATAAATTTCAAGGATCAGGTGCTGAATGTCAACAAGGCAACGAGTTACATTTAGACGTCGAGTAAAAGAAAACGCTTCGCAGAAAAACCCAATTTATGGCTAAAACAACTTACAAACATGAAAGTTTTCTTTACAAGCCATGAAAATGGCTCATTGTGAATTAGGAAATGATGTGATCATGCATACAATCCTTACAGCTTCCTCATAGAGATCACTTAATCGTGGCTTGTACAGCAGTGGTACTGGAAATAAGTGAGAAATTTGAGCAGAGAATTTGAAAAAAAAGACAAATTACGACTAAATTTTGCTCACCTCAACCAATCTTACTACTCGCTTCCCCAGCGCTCCCAGTCCCGCGAATCCACTGTCTCACCTCAGTCAAAAGCCCACTCAAGAGAACACTGAACTCCTCCAACGAATTTAAATCCCTCGCCGCCACCCCTGAAAAGGCGGCTGTGAGTCCAGAAGGTCGCTCCCCCCCTACTAACGGTATCCTCTCCACCAAGAAAGCCTCAACTGCTGTCTCGCAGAATTCGTTTATTGCAAACCCCTCGGGCGAGCAGTAGACTCCATGCAACACACGAATCAACGAGGCTTCTGAATCACTGCCTTGCTGAACTGAACTGCCTCCATCCACTAGGAGAGCCAAAAATCGACGCGCGAACTGATTTCGCCACTGACTCACAAAAGCAGGGAGAGTGAAAAGGCGATGGCGCGCATTAAGATCTACCATCGCATCAGCGCAGGCAATTAGGAGACGAGGATCAAAGACCTCTCCCGTGAATACAGCGAGAACGGGTCGAAGGAAGGTGGCAAGGTGCTCCACTTCCGCGGTCATCTGGCTGTAGGCGTAGGAGGCAGTGTTGAAGAGAGTCCGAAAGACCCGCAAACATAGATCAGGATCGTTTTTGGAGGCAGTAGCAATGACGGAGGGTAGATCGGTGATCACTCCGCCAGCGAGATTCACAACAAGACAGTTGCTGATAAAGCGAAGGACCTCGATTGCCATGGATGGGAAGACAGTACGGTTTTGTACAAGGCGGTTAAGAAGATGGAGAAGGTGGGAAATGACGGGGGAGACAAGACGTGCGGTGGCGGTATTACGCTCTAGCAGCTGCAGCAGTTGCATCACAGTTGTAATTAAGCCAGGGATCATGGAGGCGGTGGAGCGTTGACTGCCATAGATGTCGGTGAATTGGACAAAGAAGGAGAGGTGTGCGATAAAAAGGTGCACCTCAGAGGAAAGACTGGTGGTTTCCAGACACTGCCAGATGCGATTGAGAATGCCGCAGGATGTCAACGTGTCATACATCAGCCGTCTGCTCTTACTCCCCAAAGGAATGAGTGAGGCTAGTGCTTCATTGAGCCAACAAAGTCCAGCAAAATAAGTACCTCTGTCTGTGGTCAGAGTATCTTGGTGCAGAGCCTGGGAGAACATGGGCATGAGACTGTTCATTAAAATGCCGTTCTTTTGAGCCGTCAGAGCCTGCATCTGTTCCGCACGTTTAGGATTAATTTTAGCAAGATTTGGAATAGCGCTTTCGTCGATTAGCAGGTAGGCAGTGACGGCGCGTACAAGTAGGCGTTGAACGGGAATGCTGAAGGTTTTTAGTCTACTCGGTTCGCAACAGCAGGTGATAAGATCAGCCAAAAAAGCACCTTCAGAAAGAAGGGTAGCTGGAGGAGAAAATCTCGGAGGTGACGAAGCCGCTACAAGCGTCTGAAAGAGAAGGGCTGCATGGAGCCGAAGAGAGGCGATAGGAGAGACGAGAAGAAGGTGGTGAATGCATTGCAACAGAGAGGTGGAGAAGACGTCTTTATCAGCCACTGAAAGAACCACGTAACTCTGTGAAACCTCAGAGATGGGTGTATCCACCTCAGAAACGAGGACAAAACCGCTAGTTAGGAGACATCGAAGAAGGCTGATGTTCTCCACGACAACCTGAACAACATCCTGTTGAAGAGTTTCCACCTGGAGACTTTTCAAACGATCACAGAAGGCCACTCCCAATTTCAGATTAAAGACAAGAGCTTCAAGGAGCCATCGAAGCATGCTGATATCTTGCAGCGAACCAAAGTGATCGGAGAGGTATGCGAGACAGTTGAGACACGTTGCAAGGTCACGCAGAGCATAGTGCAATTTTCGAGTGGTGTGTTCTTCAAGCTTCATGCGTTCAGGGGCATTGCAGAGTTGGGTGAAGACACTCATACCCTCCTGGAACTTGGCCGCGATGCTGTGCAGCACTGTAGTGGGATTAAAGAATGCAATAGCGGACAGGAGGGTCAGTGAGGTCTGCATGAAGATGGCGTACTCGCTCTCATTATCCGCAATTAATTCACTAGAATCTGCTTGATGTAGGGTATCATCAAAAAAGGCGAGATGGGATCCTGCACAGGAGGAGTTTTCTTCCACCTCCAGAGTGCCTGATGGGTAATCACTGTCAAGGACATCAAGGTACGACGCAGAGTCGGAGAAATAAATGGTAATGAGGAGGGAGGAGCAGAGGCTAGATATAATTCTTTGGGTCTGGGAGGGCAACTGCACCTGTTTTTTAGAATTGCCAGTATCCCCATAATAGAAAGTCTTTACAAAGTCTAAATAGGCATTCCAAAGATCCAGAGCAGAAAGGTACACTGGGGTCATGGAGCGACAAACCGTGAAGGTAAAGAAATGCACACGTTGAAGGAATTTTGTGGGAGAAAAAGTGTAGAATGATCCTTTTTCTCCCCCTTGCTCCACTTCCTCCTCATTTGGAGACTTAGAGAAGAGCAAAAAGACGGTAACTAGGGGTCGAAGTATATCCACAAGCTTTTGATAAAAATCCTCTGAAATGGATTCCAATGACTGAGTGACAGAGGCAAGACCAGAGAGGTTATTGGAGGAGCTGGAAGTGGAGAGAGTGACACCCGACTCAGCCATAATATTGATGATAGATGAGGCAAAATTAAGGAGGGGAAATTGAGTGTCCAGCATTAGCATATCCCAGTAGAGGATACGGAATATGAAGGGTAGATGTTGGGCCATTACGTCGCGTTGAAAATCCTTGCGTTCAGCCACCTCTGTAAGGCAGTTCAAGCTATGCATTCCTATCTCAGCCAGAGAATCGACAGGCACATTTGGAGAGAGATTACGCGATCTGGAAGCGTCGATGAGTGTCGATAGAATCTTGGGAGATCCCATGACGAGGAATATGTAAAGAAGACTGTAAAGGCGGCACTGATCAATTGCAGTGTTTGGAGATACGGTTAAAAGGACAGTTAGACACTCCAGAAAGTTGGCAAAGTTCTTCAACAGGAGATTCGATAACTTCCTCTCCAAGTCAGTAGTTGAGGAGGAGAAAAGAATGTTGGCATCGAAGTAGAGGATAAAGCGAAGGGCGGTGAGAAAGTTCTCCTCAGAGATGCAACCGAGAGGAGTGGAAAACATGGTCTTAACTGAATTGGTAACGTCTCCTCCGAGAAGTCTTTCTACTGCCTCAAAAAGTGCCACCAATAGTTGAGGAACTGAACGACCAAAGAGAAGGGCATTCTCGGTGACTTTCGTTTGACTGATTTCGGAGTCTTGACGCAATAACTCTTCGTAGGCGGCCTTGCAGAGGGAGAAAGAGAGGCACAGAGCCTGCAGATCTCCCTCCGTAGTTACAGAAGCAGGCACGGTCAATAGGTTAATGATTCTTGCCAAAAACTGCATGTGGACTTGAACAAAATCCTTTTTACAAATGGAGGTCCAAATCTTTATAGCTTTGCACTTGAGAATAGGGAGAAAAGAAGGCATAATGGGTTGGTGATGATTGGAGGGGAAAGCGTACTTTTCCAAAAATTGGAATATTTCATGCTTCTCTGCATTGGAAAGGAGAGTCCAACGACGTTTCACCGTCGATTCAATGATGCCCAGACTGAATATACATACGTATTGATCGGAGGAGATGGTCAAAAAGTGGATGGCCGCCATCCAAGAGGAGGGCTGTTGTTCAAAAGTGATGAGCGATTCCTGTAGTTGAGCAAGGCGCTCCGGACTAGAAGCCTGAGCATAGAATTCGGTCAGCGCACTTTGAACCTCAGCTAAGGCGGTCATCGTAAATCGCTAAATGAAAAGCGATTAGCTCTTTAATTAAATAAATAAAGCACCCTGTTTGCCAACTAAACATATATCACTAGCAAAACCACTTCTTAATCCCCTCAGATACAACAAAGAGAAGCTTAAGATTGCAAATGGGAACAAACTGAAAGCCCAAAACCCACATCCGGTAGGTGCCCACATACTGTTCTGGTAATACAGTAGGAAGGAGTGGTCCCTTACAGCATAATAGACCATTAAAAAGTATATCTATTTGCCAAAAGTGTTGTGATAAAATTACAGTGTCCGATATGGTTGCAGTAGCCATCTATAATCTTTTTGAAAACAATTGGTATATTTATTTACTATAGTACGTTGACATCCAACCAGTCGAGATGCCCTAGCAGTCCAAACAAGCTACGTGAACTACTAAAAACGATGAGATATTTCCCTCATGACATACTTTTAAAAATTCTTACACCGAATTTGCAAGCTGAGAACCCTGAGTTCTGCGCGCACACCCTTTTATAGAAGGAGCTGTGTTGATGTTGCACATTCACGTATGCGATTGGTCAAAAAAACTTGCACAAAAAAGTACGTTCCGTGAAGGCACAAAAGAAAACACATCAAATCCAGTGGTTTTGTTCATGCCAGTCATCAAAAAGTAAAGACCAAGATGTTTGTTCATTAAAATGCCACTATCATAATGCAAGCTAGATGTTTAGTAACAGATCATCCCCTTAACGTATTCGTTAACAACTTAGTAACATTTTAACTAACTATACTAGTCTGTCTAAGCAGCGGTAAATCGGCCTCATTTCTAAAATTTCTGTGCGGAAATCAGTTAAATCAAACATCGTTTGACAGTAGCATTACATTCGGTCAACATTCTCACTATCATTTGTCACCTTAAAATGACGGAAAATCGTTCTTATTCAGAGGTCATTTAATTATTCCTGAAGACCTCAGTCGTCTCGATTTAACTTCATTCCCATGTTTGGCTTACAGGTCTTATCGATATAATCCTTTTTCTCGTACAAAAAGGCATCGAGTATACAAATTTGAGTATTAATAGGCATGATTCCGCTTGCTCGACTCTCATATTAAAGCTCCTAATTTTCACAATTCCCATTCTACTATGATAATGGGTCTGTAGGTCTGGAATCGGCACCTGTCATTTTTAGAAAGTAAGATGTGTCAAGTATAGAAACCAAAAGGACCGGAGCTGAAGTTTTTGAGTGGTGTTTTTTCTTAGGGAGTTAAGAAGCCTATATTGAGATTTTTGTAACCGATGCGTTAGAGTAGTAGTTTTGGAAATCGTATTTATGTAATAGCATGCTTTGCACGATCATTTCAACGTCAAGATTTCCATAATTACACAAAAATGCGACCTTTTTTAATGCGCCCAACCGCATTTGTATCATATTTCCCAATCAATACACTCACTGCCTTCAAAATTTGGCCATGGGCATTAATGAGAAACTTAACGAAGAGTGCATTCAAGCCCACAATAAGTATGTGCACTTGTTCCACGCCTATACCACATGACTTCTCCTGCCCTAAATGCTGTTTTTACGCATGGGAAGTTTAGAATTGTAGTCGCTTTTATACACAAGTAGTGCTTATAAACGCCTCTTAATGTCTTGATGGGTAAAATGAAAAATCAGACAATCCTTCTTCTGAAGTGATACTGCTGTCTCCTAGCAGCTTTTACATCAAACAATTGGCAATGCTCTCGTTTGTCTGTAAATCCTGTCCGTTTTCATTTCTAAAATCCCTATCCTTTCGCATATTGCCATAGACCTGATTGAATGTGGAGGTACAAAGCGAAAGCATTGAAAGTATATTTTTGCAGGGTAGGGATGTTCCTTCGAGCTGGTGGTGATAAAAACATACCTCTACCTACTCGTTAGTAGTAAAAAAATATGTGCCTAAAGTGGAGGTTAGCGATTTTAGCATCAGCATGCTGTAGGGACTAAGGCCAAACAATGTTGCCTTTTCCGAAGGCTTCGAGCCCTCCACGGTTGCGCTTCCCTGACCTACGATGCAAAACTGGCCAAGCAGGCGCAAAAAACACGCCGAGTACCTGCTAAAACAGAATAAAATGGAGCACAGCACGAATCGTGACTATGGTGAAAATATCGCCCTCAAGGGGGGCACTCCCGGATTCCAGTTTACAGGTGGGAAGGGGAAATCACTTCGTTGAATTGACACTTTACTAGGTGTTTTTTTCCAGCTGTATAATTGAGTACTCCGCCTTTTTTTCTACTTTTGATAGGATATGATGCCTCTCAAATGTGGTACAGCGAAATTAAGGACTACGATTTCAAAGGAGGCGATCAACTGAAGTGCGGTAAGCCTGTTGGCCTTTTTGGAGGCAGAAGCTTTAACGTATTATAAAATTGCTGGTTTTGAATCTAAAGTTGGATTTATTAACTTCCCAAGTGGTGGCTATTTGACTCTACTGCATTCTGATTGGCACTATCCCACTATTTTGGGATGAAGTCAGTCGTAACCAACATGTACATCATCAGCCAGATTGAATTTATTCGGTTGAGTTACTACAAAACTACAAAATGGTTAAGGAAATGGTGTTGTAGCACCTCGAATCACCCCCGAGGGCGCAGTAAAGTAGAGAGACTGAGAGGCTACAGGAGGACCAGAACATCATGGTGTAGGTCAGGAAATGGGGACTGTGGAGACCGAGGAGCCGTGCGGCCGTGTAAGGGTTGCTTCTCTTGCCACTGTTTGTTATTAAAACAAAAAATCTCCATCATTATGATGATGGGATAGAAGGGTTGAAAGACTAGAAGGATAGCCAGCATATTTGACTCCAAGCCTTGTCCAGTACCACATTTTTTGCAGGCCACTTCACCCAACTAGTTTGGTCAGACACAAAGCGGGCGGGTTTTGGAGTGGCCAAATCGGCTAAAGGTGATAAAGTTATCATTGTGGGACAATACAAACCGCCTGGTAATTACATGGGAGAGTTCAAGGCCAAGGTGCCACGTCCTACCAGTGGCAAAGTGAAGGTGCCCGACGTCTCCGAATTGGCCGCCAAGTGACACTTGTACAGCTGCTTTCATGACTTTTACTTGCTGCTCTGTTTAAAGTGATCAAAAAAATGTTTCTTTTTATTCGATGGAGTTGTGTGAATATTGCTTGACATCCAAAACACAGAAATAATATATTTGAGTTGGGCGTATTTGAGATAGGCGTTATTTGTTATGGTACCCCATCTTCGTAGGTTTGCTGTTGTCTGGATCTCCAATACTTCCCCGAGGGTCTAATACTTGGGTAGAATATGTATTGCCGACGTAGAGTAGGACTTGGGGCTATTGGCATGGCCCGGGGGCTCGGCCGCCTGGCAGAGGCACAACGGCCGAGTCCTTGATTAGCCCGTCATCAAAACCGGAAGTTTACCAAACAAATAACTAGCTCCAGTTGCATATTTCACCAAAGGAATTTAACAATTTGATCACCAAAAACTACCTTTCTAGCCGGAAACTGGATTAGAGGTGAAAATTTCATTTCAAGTCTGTACCCTCACCTCAAAGAATCACAGAGGTGCAAAAGCGTTGGATGTGTACCGACCTATTAAAGTACTCCAATTGTATTTAAGTCCATCCCCCGCTTTCCGCTTTACTTTAACAGACTTTCTTCACCGCTTCGGACTGCAGTATACGGGCTCCGCAAAATGAGCTTCTTAGTGGAGTTTAACAAAGAATGCATTGAAGCTCACAACAAGTAAGGCTGTATTTGCTATTTTTTTTTCGTTCCTGTCCTTTTCTTACCTCCTCCCCCCCCCCACCCTATCGTAAAAAAGAGGTATTACAAGAGCGATTTAGAATGATTGGGGCGTTTTACTCGGTTTGCGTTATCATTCTATTATACTCTAGAATTATGGAGATGAATGCAAAAGTCAAATCCACAGGCTTCTCAAGTTTTCTCGGATCCCTGCGGAATAATTAACAGACTAGCTAACGTTAATGGTCCAGAAATCTCCCATTCATACCCCTAATTATAACCCTGGCTACCCAAATCATAAAGTCATTATGCTGACCTAATTTAGCGTCCGGATTATCTTGGACAGTAGCCTAGGACAATTAGTACCTTAGAGATTTAGCAAAGCGCTGGCGAAGTGGGCAGGCGTTCACACCACCTTTGTGATGACTGAATCTTGGAAGACTCAAATCGCTAGCCGATGATAATATTTAATAAGAAAAATTATCAGTTCGGGCTAGTCTTTATCGTTAACTGTCATTCCTGGCGCCTCGCATGAGTAATGCCCAACGATGACCAAACCAAGAGTACTTGATTAATGTAAACTGAATAGTGAGGCAAAAAAGGAAGGCTTTGAAGACGTTTTACCACAACGGTGGTGATGCTTTCAGTGGATGTCAGTAGGATTGATCAGCCAAGTCCTTTGTTAGCAACCTACAGCGAGGGAACCTATCTAAGAGGTACCGACGCTGCTCTAGGTCGAGTATACTATTGGAAGACAGAGTTATTAAAAGAAATACAGACGTCAACACTGTTTTATCCGGCGACCGAAGCACCGTTACAATCCATCATCCATGCGCAATGCGACATACGTTTACCGATCCCACTTTTATGCAACTTGGCTCCTCAGAGACTCGGCTCAGTACTTTATGCTGCTTAGGTCATACTTAGCTTTTCTAGCTTAAGAAGGCAGCGGATCGACAATCCATCGCGACGTGCGAGAACTTATAGTTCAGGATAGTGACAGTCCCACTGACCTGGACGCATGACACGAATGGAACGCTGCATCGGACTGTGAAATAGCTCCATTAGAAAGTCGTACATGTGTATCTCCAACAATATCGTAACTACACGAAGACGAACAAAGCTTTGCAACAAGGCGAGTAGCAACGGCAGCACCAGCAGCGGCGACCTTAGCGAGCGGTAATAACTTTAACGGAACGGCAAGCAACAACTCTAAGGAGAGTAGCAAGGAAAAACAAAGAAAGCTAACTAGTACCTGCATTTATAAGGCAATTTTGACTCATATGTTCTCTTTTAATGAATGTTTGCAAATATTTTGACGTTTATTTTTAAAGAATAGGATTAGATGCTAGCAATGGCCTAGTATTTTCATGTAACCGTACTACCCCATTGTATTATTTGGCTTGCAAGCTTATGAAGACAGGAAATCATTATGAAAAAAGTTTTCTGGAGATGATAGCTAACTATGTGAAATATTTACAAAAGAAAAGTCATAACAATGTCAAATATATGTCAGCTTGCTCCAATTTGGATTTACGCCCCCGTCAGTCAGTGGGGAGGTAACCACCATGCTAGCAAACAAATGCCAACTTCGGATAAAAACTTACTTATGTTTGTTCACCTTAAAGACTTCGAGCTCTTCATGGCTGCAATCCCCTAAACTATGACGCGGACTTGGCGGAACAGGCTCAGAAACACGCCGAGTTTCTTGCCCTGAAGCGTCGAATGGTGCATAGCAACGCTTTTGACTACGGTGAAAATATTGCGAAAAAGTTTGGTACTCCGGGATTCAAGCTCACTGGTAAGGGCCTGCGGATAAGAGCAATGGATTTTTCATTAAAAATCTTCTTAACACCATTTAACACAATAAATTAATCCAAGAATGTGTTATTGTGTAGCTTATTAAAAAAAATATGATTAAATACGATTAACAAATGATTTGTAAAAATCTCTGTCTACTAATGTAATTCCTTTTAATAGTTCACCTAATAAATGATAGAATTAAGAATTACCTAAAATTGAAACCCAACAAAGGATAAGGAAATGACTGCAAATTTTATCTTAGTTTCTTTCTTAACGACGGGGAATTTTGGATCTTATCTAAATTTGCGTAATTTTAAAAGGACCTGAGGCGACTCGAATGTGGTACAGTGAAATTATGGACTACGACTTCGATGGAGGCGACCAAATCACATGTGGTAAGGGCACTTTTAAATCCCATCCAAGATTTTTAACAATCATTTAGCAGCTATCTTAAGTCCCTTTAATTTCTTCACAACAATATCTAATTAGCAAACTTGGCCGACCCCGTGAGTAATTGAATACGGGATTTGTTTAAATTTTAGAACAAATTTATTAATTTTGCGTCAAAAGAAACGCCTGCATGGTTTGCTGATCTGTACGGTTTATGGCAGTATTGTACAGAGAGCTCTAGTCCTAAGTTTGATTTCTTGGGACTAATGATTAGCAAATTTAACTTTATTTACTTTCACAACTAATCATTTTACAGAAAATATCTATTTATTACTAAAGCAATTGCACTGTAATACTTTCGAGACCACAAAATACCTCAATGCGTAATGCACTGTTGTCGCCACCTCGTATACCCTTTTTTCTGTCAGTAGTAACTTTACTGACTGAACTCGCTACGGTAGATGCTTACTATCTGTCCTCCGTGTAGTACCCAGGCGGTCTGTGATGGTTTAATTCTTCCTTGAAGCATATGAGGAGCGTTACAAAGCATGCCATCTTGCGCTACGTTGTTGTGTAAGAATAAGAGTAGAGATTACACACTTACCTACATCGAGTCAGTGGATCTCAGTCGTGACCGTTGTTAAAACTTCAACAGGTGAAAAATTTCATCTGTCCTCACTCACACACGATTTGGTGCGTGCCTTAGAAGTTGGGGATGGTTAATGAATGAAGGGTTGTCCGAAGACAATCACTTATTTGTCTTTTTGGCGTCCCAATGAAAAAGGCTCTTCACACTGCAAAGAGCGCTCCATATCTTTCCTGAGGACGAAATAGGTAAAAATACTTGAACGAAAAGTGTGCAAAAGGGCTGGAGGCTACTGGCATGGCCCGGAGGCCATATCGCCTAGCAAAAGTACAATGGTTATATCTTAAGTGCCCGCAAAGTCAAAACGGGGAGATGAACAAAAAATCAAAGCGGCACATATTGTCAACTGCTTTTGAAGCGTGGTATTTAACACCTCTTCATTTAGTATTTTCTATCACGCCTTTCTGCTCCTAGCTGACACAGACGTTAATTAACCATTTTCTCAATTTAAACACTCCTAAAAATTGTTTATGACAATTTAATCTCGAGTAGTTTCAATCAGCATTAACACGTTTTGTTTAAATGCACGGATGAAGGTCACTTCACACAGTGCGTGTGGTCAGACACGGAGCGGGCAGGATTCGGCTTCTCAAAGGCGAGGGAGGGCGATTTAGTCATTGTGGTAGGCCAGTACCGACCACCGGGCAATTACTCCGGCGAGTTTCCCTCCAAGGTGCCTCGGCCGTTGAGCGGCGAACCGCGAGTGCCCAGTCTGGAGGAAATTTCCGCAAAGTAGACAACTATTGCGTCTAAATCAAAGCTTACTTGACGCTGTGTTCCTTTTTCAAATAGATTATCACTGTATGTAAAAATGGTTAGTTATGCTGTGCTATAAAACTATGATTTAGCTTATCCATTAACAACAAAGCTTTGCCACCAATTTTGGCGTAATTAATACGCACTAATGTGAAAAAAATGGTGAATAGTGGTGCGTTTTTAAGGTAACCTTGTAAGTAAAAACAACTTTGCAATATCAAAAATGCAGTGGTTGTGACCTCCCGTTAGTCGATTTGAGGGAAAATGGATGGAGATCTTTGTAATTGTAATGTAATTGGTTGTGTTCAAATGTAGTGATTCTCGAGTTATTTTAGCACGTGTTTAACCATCCAGGTTCTTTAATCTCCGCAGACCGCAATCCCGTACTGATATTGTGGCGCCAAGCTTACATTTCTAGCTACTTTAGACCTTATGTATGCTGGTTGGGCTTAATAAGGCTTCAGGGATGACTCGGGATTTGCATAAATGCAATCACGAAACCACTAATAGGAGAGCCTTATCGAAGAAATATTTCAATACAAGTCACATGGCTCGATTATTCGTTAGAGATTTGGAAGTTTCCAATGCATTCAAGTCAGCGGGCATATAATTCTATCAGCGGTAGAAGATAACCGCAATGGATGGAGAAAAAAATTAAAAGACAAAAAATTGTGGTTAGTATTACGAGATGTCTAAGATCTGTGGACTTGAAAAACTTTTGTTAATGTTGGAATGCGATGATTGGCAAGTCAACTTATTTGCACATTGTATTATGCATGGTTATGGTTGTATCGTAATGCTCTAATAGTTTGTTTAATCTGTTTTTGATTACAAAGGTGCTTAATTAATCGCAGATTGTACTTTCGCTGACGACGTGGCCTTTGAGCCATCTCGATAACCTTCGCTTTCTCCTCAGGCAAAAATACATCTTCCGCCATGCTACTTTAATACGACTGTGGTTTATCCCTCGGCATTGGTGAGGCGCCATTTTTGTACTTTGAAGTAACCCCCTTGTACCTCGCTGGGTGGGCTGGCCTTCTGGGCCATGCCAATAGCCCAGACACCTTTCCTGCACTGAATATATATTTTGTCCAAGCATTTTATCTTCTTTCGTCTTCAGGGAGTCCCGGAACGCTACACTACTGGCCTACTACGACTTCAGAAAAGACTAGGGGTTTTGCAGTGCTGCATATGGTCCCACTAGCATCAACAGGTAGTATTGAGTGCAAAAGGAAAGTGGTAAAGGGCTCCCAAGTAAAAAGTGCTAAAATATAGCATCTTGAATAATTTGAGAGTGTGTAGACTAAGGCAGCCATAATACTAGGGCAGGATGTGCATTGTCGAAGTGTAGTAGGGTCTAGGGGACACTGGCATAGCCAAAAGGCCAGACCACCTGGAGAACGTACAATGGTAAAGTCCCTAAGTAGGCCTTTACCAAAACCGGGAGTTAAATAAGCTACTAATGCATTAAAAAATAACTTTAATCAAACATTTTGACTGAAGTGGCTTGCCAGGTTAACATCCCAAATTATCGTGTCAACTCCAAGCACAAATTTAACATTTATGACTATTTTCTAATTCTATAGTAAATTTTCAGACTTGTCCAATCATATTTTTATCTATAACCCAAATTTATGATAGGGTTGCATGTCCAGCTTGTCTAATGCAAGCCATACCCAAAACAAAGTAACAATTAACTACCTTTAAAACAAGTCTGTGATAAGACCGCATCCAGGTGCAACCACTAAATGGGACGTCATTTGGTGCTTTAAATTTTCCATTCTTTGATCGCGTTGTTCGTTTTTATCATCGCCTAGTCCAGTGGCTGCATAGGTACGTATCTTGTGTATCTGAAGCCTGTAAATGGTTTAGGCCTTTTGTTTCATTACACTACATTTATTTTGCTGTACTTAACACGTAATCTGTTTTTCATTATTTTGTAGTTGTGAGTGGTACACTGTATGTCTCCTTCCTAGACTTCAATTGGTTGCTTTCCATGAAATACTATTTCTGAATATTCCTGTGGTGTTTGCTGACTACTTCTACTTAAAATCATGGTAATCTGTCCCAATGCTTGTTGTCAAGTACATGAACTGTAAGAAAAAGTTATTTGTGGCAACGCTATTTCTCTTCCGCTGCATATCATCCTAGGCTACTCTCTCACCTGCCACTGTTACACTCTATTGATATTGAAACTTTTATCTTAGCAGACTCTTGGAATATCATTCCCATGTAAGACCCATGTTCATTCTTCACGCAAAAACTCCTAATAAGCCTTAATACCCCGGAAAATTAATGCGTACAATTCATCCCCTGCCTCTCATCAAGCCATGTGGAAAATATTTGCCGGCCTCTGCATCCGTCGGCCCGCAGTCGTGACCCCCCAGTTGTCGCCCCTTCAGCGTCAAATACAGGAGTTCTTTGCGGAGGTGGAGGTCCAGCGGAGCCATCTTTCAGCGCACGAGGTGCGCCACCGCAATGACCTGGAGCACATGGCAAAGATGGCACAGGAAAACCAGGAGAGCAAGCAGAGTACTACGCGCCACCAGACTTCCCGTGATAACGCTGCCGCTTCTCTGCTTACTGCCAAGGACATGGAATTGGTTTGGGAGGCTGCGGCGAAGGAGTTCTGGAAGGAGCTGGGATCTGTTCCCCAGTCTGAAGGTTAGTCACGTTTTATTATGACTACTTTTTTCTCATTTTGTCATTTATTACAATCTGTTCACTCATGTTTATTGCTAAAATTACTTTTCAGCAATTTATTCTCATTTAAAAATCATTGCAAAGCAGTTCCGTTCCTGCCGCTTGAGGTTAGCCTTTATTATCTCTATTAGTCATGCAAATCCATTGGTTTGTTTGTTTGGTTTGTTTATTTTTGCTTGAATATAGTATTATGACGCCCGTGTCAACTTCAGAGGCTTTAAGAGATATACACCACTGTATAAAATCCGTAGCCGGTTAAAAAAAGTGGGACAAATGGTTTTCCATTTCTTCTAGATTAAGACCGAGGCCATATAGGTTGAAAAGCTTGTACTGTTAAGTGTACAATCAAGACAAATTATATCGAATGCCCAAATAAGTTCGTGTGATTGTTGGCATGGCTCAATGCGGTAGCTTAATATGACTTGTAAGGACTTGTGAGGTACACTTGTTTATATCCATGCATTGGAAGGTTTATCCATGCGTCAGTCTATCGGTGATCCTTATTCTGATCTGCATCAGTCTACTCTCTTTTTGAACGCTGATATCGTAAAACGTCGGCTGAACCTGATGGATATGATTTGAGCCCGTCTGCGTTATGAATAGATCGTAACATGGTTGCATTCCGCAGTTTCCTTGTAAAAGTGTCATAGCTTTTGCAGAAGTTGTGGTAGCATAGTGAATCACCCAAAACTGATTTAAATACTTTGATTCTTGTGATAAATCATCAAAAAAAATGATACGTCACGTCCAGAAAATTATTTTATGTGCTTATTTATGGGATGAACGGTTCAATTGAATGCGTGTGATATGGATAAAACACTCATTTTACTCACAGTATCTGTTTTCAATTTCTGACAGGTGTTAAAGTATCAGAAAGAAGAGGAGAAAGCGTTTTGAAATAGTCCCTTTTCACTTTAACGTAGGTTAATTTATGGGACGAGATGTTACATTTGAATATATTCGACTGCATTTTTTATTAACGTCTATTGTGTATCGACACAGCTGTTTCTTATTCCGTATAAAACAAACTCGAATGTAATTTCTTTGATTCTTTTTGAATAGGTGTGAATGAGTCAGCATCAATAGGAGAACGGAATGAGACGGGTGTCACTTCAACGGCCACTGCGTGGCGCAAACTGGACCGTATTTTGATCCTTCTCACCCGTCAACGCCTTGGAAAGTCCTTCAACTGGGGCCTCCCTGTTGTTGAAGTTACTGGGACTTCCACACTGCGTTCTGTGAGTCCATTTTGTCGTCTCTTTAGGATTTGTGCTTGATAGCATTACGAGTAAACTCTGCCTCTGGTCAGCCTTGATAGTAACTTTAAAGATTCCTCCATCTTTGTTCCCATTCTTCTCAATGAATGGTGATCCTAAATTTTATTCAAAAAGGTTTTGGAAAGATTCATCAGTCTACATCGAGATAGAAGGGTCACTATCGAGCTTGGAGCCGAAAGAGTTGCTCAGGCCGTCTTAACACGGTTTCTTCTTATTTAGTCTGGCTGAAACAGAACTGAAACAAAACTGAGCTTCCTGTTTCATTACATATTTTTAACTCTATTGATAAAGTCCATTTAGTAAGTATTTACTCCTTTTTTTTCATTTGTTTGAAATTTCGAAAGGGCAAAAAGGTATAACACCCAAATAGAATATGCATATTCAACATACGGTAGGGTTTGAGGCTACTGTCATGGCCAGAAGGCCACCTCACCCAGGGAACGTACAATGTTAGAGCACTTAGGTGGTTCCATTACCAAAACCGAGAGTTAACCAAAGGGTTAACGAATTACACAGCCTCCCTCCTCCTTTGAACGTCTTCCTTGGCGCTCCACTTGGTCATTCTCCCGCGTCAACCATCACATCGTAACCGGTGCTGTAATAAAACACCCGCGAGCCAACCGTGCCAGTCATCGAAGTTCCTTACAACTGAGGAGATACCTCTCCACAAAATCACTGATCCCTCTTGGTAATTCTGCTGGATCTGGAGTTTTGTCCAGTTTGGCAACTGTGTTGAGGGGAGGAGGAATGTGATGGCTATCTTGTTTATCCATCGTTAGTCGTTAGCCTTAAAGCAGAATCTTGTAACAAAGAATGAAATTTAACATAGTTCCGTATGAGTAGGGTTTCGCTTCTATTCCTCCTTGTCGCGTTGTTCGCACTTCAGAGCTGTCCAGCCATATCTACCTGGGCTCTATCCAGTTAGTAGAGAAATGGACGAGGTGTTGTGTTTCACATATTTAAGATCTTTATAGGGGTTGGTAGACAGCTCCATAACTATGCTTTTTCTAGATGGTTCATGGCCAGAGTTGTTTCAGCTGTTAATAGCTCTCCCGCAGACTGCGGAACTAGGGTAGTTTCCGAAAGTCGACGTCATTTTCAGCCCGTCCTTTACAAGTCGTCACCACTTTTCCCATCCGCAGCATATGCACTTCCGCCCCATTAAGACTTATCACTCAGTAATAGAAATCAGGATGGATGTCCTCTTAGATCGGGTTTGCTTTCCGCTGCCAGCGGCGTAGCCCTCTAATACCTCCCTGAAGTCATAATGCTCAGACAGAATGCGTATTGTCGACGTAGAGTAGGGATTAGGGCCATTGGCACAGCCCAGAGACTACTCCACCCGGAGAGGATGCAATGGCGGAGTACCTAAATGGCACCAGGCATTCCAAGTGCTGAATGGTTGCTAAGGCTGTGAGCCGGCAACCGCCACTATCAACCACTTTTCCACTGCCATCGTTGCATGTCACTTTTATTAACAGCTTCTGGCCTGAACTATTTCATGGCACATCCGCTAGCCATCATTACTGGGACACACTCTACTTGAATGTTTTTTTTTCTACTCGGGAAGATTTTCTCCGCTTTACTCACTAATTTGACGTCGTTCTACTCCACCTTGCTTTTTTTGCCAAGAACTAGGCTGCAAGTCAGGTAGAAGGAACAGTTTCCTTAACATAATTAAGCAGATGCAGTAGATTGAGGTACACCACTTGGATGACTTTTATATGCACTCTCGAGCATATTTTAAAGTTTATAGTTCCTCAGTTCATTCGCCAAGTTACTGCTTAGCTCCCTATATTAAATAAATATTTTAGATATTTGCGATTGGCTTTTCCTTGTCGAATTATGGATGGTATAGCTAAATTTCAGATACGTAAGCTACCAAATAAGTCTGTATGATTTTTATAGCAAGTTAGATAGGTACTGAAACCGTAAAATATTCAATCCGCTTGATTGACTTCCTTTTCCGGCGAGATACAGACCTCTCAGAGCCTCCTTTATACTGCGCTTTGTTTCTAGATATAAATATCCCATCTTTCTTTCTGTTTAAATTTCATTTCTTATTTATCAGCTCTACTTTGTGTGTCTGTTTAATATGTGAAATGTAAGTGACATTCCTTGTCTCCGTCACCTTGGCCATTGATTCTTTGACTGACTTTTTTTATGTCTAAATGCGGAGCTAAACTTTCTAACCTCTATTAAGAAGCGTTAAGCTTGTCTGACACATCCATCCTCTGTGATGTTTTATGGAGCTGTAACCTTTAAATCAAAGTGATGACAGTCTGTATCCGATCATTTGAACCGCTTTTCAAGCCCTAGATTGAAATGTGCCTTGTGTGTTCTAGCAGGGCGCGACTCCTTCTTAAAGAGCCTGAACGAAGCGTATTTGTATCAATGGTGTAATGACTAGCATGTCGTATTAGAAGCCGCATTGAATTCATTGGAGTCTTTCATTGATGTTTCCTTGCTGTGTTGTCGAAGGTATTCTATCAAATGCTGCAAGCACTGCAGCAAGTGCGCAGACTTGAATTGAATAGCAAGCCTAGGTCGATAATCATTCCATCCAGAAAAGGAAACAGGATAACATCGGCTGATTTTGGTACTCGTTTGCGTTTTCAGGCCGCGGAAGATCTTGCAAGAGTTCTCCTTCCCCCAGAAGCGCAATGCATGATCGTTGGAAATGCTCCAGTGGCGGTGCATAAATACGCCTATCGCATCGACGAGGGGAAGGAGAAAGGACGGAAACAGGGTGTTCAGGTGCGTTTATTATGGTATCCTTTGGCACCCGATTACGCTTCAATTCCCTTGCTTTATTAGGTTGTTAAATATATTAAATGCCTGATTTTGAAGCATCCGTTCGTCTCATTGTACAACATAAAAACTTCCATAGCATTCAAGCACTACACTATTATTAATGGTAAGCTTTGGCCATCTTGACTACCAGGAGGTCTGGAAAGCTTTCATGGTGAAATTTCTTATACAACTTGTAAGAATAGCATCATTGCTCTTGAAAGTGATGAGGAAAGGATGACAGATAGGTTAGCTGCCTGGATGAATTGGAACTATTACTGCTTATATTTACGTTCTTTCGCCCCACTTTTCGTCATTTTGTTAGTTTTTACTGCTGTTGTTTGAATCACTGTCGCCTCCATTACCAAGTGGCACTTGTCTGGTCGTCGTTTCTTCCGTTTTTGAGTCACTAACGGCACTCTCTTCACCGATATTCTTATTTCTGTCTTTTCCATGTAAAAATGGCTGCTCACCTGGCTAAGTACTACAAGCTGAATGAACCCGGTTACATACTCGGGTTGTTTGCTGTCCGGTTCCGTATTCTGCCCTCATCGTGAGTCTAGGCTAATGAGACTTAGTCGCTGCCACTGAACCATATGATCTCACAAGTAACAGCACACACTGAGGGACAGTCATCAGATCCACCTTCTTTAATTGGAGGATCAGTGTTATTTGTGCCGGTGATATGTCCACCAGTGGCTTACAGAAGTTTGGCACTTTATGCTTCAAGATGCCATATCCCAGGATACTTCTATTAACGTATGTTGTGAAGATCCTTACTTTTGTTTGTTACTAAAAACCGGTTAAATCGCCTCTTCCTGACGTCTGTGTGTCCAGCGCAGGTGTACCTTCCTGATAGCCATGTTGACTGGCTGTGATATTACTCTCAGTGGCATTAGTAATAATCCATTGAGCTGCCTCCTTGTGTGACAATAGTGAGACTCGGGATCTAGTGTCGTATTTTTTAAAAGCTAAATTGTCTTATGTTTGTCCATACTGACCACCTGCTGGTGTTATCGGTGTCTGTGTATGTGACAAGGAAAGGCTGAAACCCTGTCCTGTGTTTTCTGAATGTAGATGTACTTTCTGAACGCCTACGTGAATAAACTGTGGCACGGAGAGAACGTCCGAGCAGAAGAGGCACCGGATGGGAGGAGTGGCGAAGCGAATTTCGCGTGGACGTGTATCGAGGAAATGGATGACTTCATCACCGATAAGCAGTTCCTTCGACGCCTGCGGACTTTCATTGTGGAGTACTGACTTTTTTATCTTCTGCCCTCCACGATAGCGTGTGTTTACTGTACATTATTGCATGTATTTATTAGTAAAACCAGCTTGTAGACTGCTCTGATTCGTTTGTTGATTTATTTGATGCTTTAAGCCATACAGTTAAAGCCCTATTACTAAATTTAAGTTCATGAAGCAAAGTAGTGTACATTCATTCCTCTTCTTAGGACCTGAATTCGTCTCCTCTTTATGGTTGCAGTGATTTGAAGTAGTTTTTAAGACCTTGTTTCTATGCATGCTTCATAAAACATAGATGTGTGTCAGTCTAGTGGAACTCCATCTCGGTCTATACGGCTTTCCCGCCACTTTGAACCTTCATTTCACAAAATTTCGGTTTAACCCTTCGGTCCCCCTTACAAATCACGTTCGACTCAGTTCCAAATCTGTGTAAACTTCTGCAAATGGCATTTTTGCATCGCCTCCGTGGTGATGCATCATATTCCGAATGACCCTCTATCCTTGCAATAACCAAGTCGCGATTAACTTGCCAATAAGAAATTTCAATAATGCTTTCTTCGAGTAGTGGAACGCCTTTAAGAACTTTGTGGCTGTATAATTCGTACAGCAAAAAAACCGCACGAATGTGCTTGGCTACTTGTAAAAGCAATGTCAATCGGCGGCGCCGTCTTCGATTGGAACCGATTTGTAGACTGCATCCATTCATCCGTTTGTATCCCTCATCTGGGATGACGGTACCCATGGCACTTGTTTTTTTCGGCGATTAGCACTTTGCTTAAAAAAGACATGAGCCTATTCACTACATAGTTCTGCCTTTGGTGTCATAGTATCTTTACCTTCGTTGGTCTGCATTGACCTTTGGTTGCTGACAAGGACTCCTGTCTTTGGTCACCATCGCTGTGTCATGACGTCTCGCTTGTGTCATTTTGCTGGGGATATTTATGACTCCAGGGAAACATTCCATTCCAATGTTCTAGAAGTTTCTGTTTCAACTGTTTGAACCTAACATTTTAGTAACCTTATCAATTATCTCCCATTTCCTTTCTCCTGACTGGTCAGCAATTTGTGGAGATACACCTTGTAAATTCATTCCCATTCAGACGATATAAATATGCTGTAATTGTGCCTGCTTGTGCATTTGGATTATCTTGAGGCCCTTGTCTCTTGGGGCTTCTAGTTAGGATCGCGTTACTATACGTGGGCATACACATCCATGTGTAGAGCATAATAGTTGGCAATGCAGGTGAGACATGTCATGGATTCGTTAAGACTGAAACCACTACTCGATCAGCAGTTGAAGTTGGTGGAGTGGTTAACGGAGGTGAAAGTTTCGACTGTCCGATCAGTCGGTCTTAACAGCTGCATTTTCGATGGCTGCCATTGCCAATAGCATTGCGGAGTTGTACTGCGGTCCGGAGGACGATGTCACGCTTAACTCGTAGTACATACGGCACGAGGACCTCTTCAACGTCGATCTTGCCCTGCGAGATGGTGTGTGGAGGGTCCATCTTATTAGCAAACCCAGGCTGTTAGTCTGCCTGTCGTGGTCTAGGTGGTAGTTGGGGGAATAGATGTCAATAAATGATTGAAATTAAGCTGGGGCTTCCAGTAACCGCCCATTGAAGTCATTTTGTGGTTTTGGAACCATTGCTTGCCTCGACTAGTTTTCGGTGGTTTTTGACGGAGTTGTTTGATGCATTAGTGAGAATTTAAGGTGTCAATAGTCGCCCCTTCTCTTATAAATTGACAACTAAAGCGAGATGAAGGCGCCGTCTTGACCCCAGGGGGTTTATTGTTAGGGCGTTGGTATGGTTGATAGGACTGATGCACAGCGTTGACGTCGGGAATAACTCGGCTCTTGGGCTGAATCAAAATGTCGTCAAAATGCAAGTTAGCTAGATACGAATACTCATCACCGATTTTATCGACAGTGACGTTCCAATCCTCTTTCAGACAGACGTCTACATTTGGTTTGGTCGAGACCGCGAATGAAAATGCTTAACTTGAACTGGGCGTCAGTCAAGGACTTCAAATTGAACCTTTCACACGTGTGGTTCATGCTCCTAAGGTGGATCACGAAAAAGCTGGTCCCATGCATGATCAGTTTAGGCATTTCTGCGGAATAATGAATGCGCCAGCCTACCCTCAAAGTGTTGTCTCGTGTGTTGTCTTGGATCCCGCGGTAGTATTATATTTCAACACTGACAAAAATAGACTCCCCAAGATCGATGTCGAACAGGATCTTGTACTGTTCAAAACACAGGTCAAATGTGGCATTGTCCTCTGGGCTGTAGTAGAAAACGCCATCCACTAATATCATCGCTACGGAGTCGCCTCGTTGAGCCATCAATCCATCAAACCGCTAGGGCCTCCTCCATTGGTGCTTGTGAAGGTCATCTGAAACTTTCTAGACAGCTACAGTCCCGCTTTCCTGCGCGACTTATCGCTCGTCGGAACGTACCACATCACCAAACTTAACCTCAACTTACTTGATCGTGAATGGTTTGATCAGCTGGACCTGTACCGGATTCGTTGTCGTACGACGCAGATCGTCCGGTGCCACATGATTATTCGGCTTTAAGGAACAGGTTTCTTATGTCTCACACTTTCAAATGAATGCGGCAATTCAAAGGTTTGTGTACGGAAGTATTCTAACTTGTTCTGCCCATTCCACGTGAATAGACCCTATTGCAGTGGATAGGAACTTCAATGGATCAGTCAGAATCTATGCTAATTTTTCAACTAATCACAAGGTTGCATTCAGGGAAAGCCAATGCGTCCTGTTCCCACTGACCTGTTCATAACACAAAACAATTGAGAATTCTTTGTCAAAGTAAAATTTTCTGATGGCTGTTTAAAGATCAAAGTCGTATCGAAGTGTCATGAATACCTAATCACAATCACAACCATCTGCTTCTCGAAGTTGATTACCCTAGCTAGTTTCCAGCAGCTGGTTACCACCATTCTACCAGACATTTCAGCACATTCAGCAAATCGACTCCATTGCTAGACACTCAAAATGCTGGGCCACGATTTCACCATTCAATACCGTCGCACAGAAGACTTTGACAAAACAAATGCTCTCCCACATCTCATCAACGAATACTCAGCGGCCAACGAAGGTTTTGTGTTTGCGATACTTTGTGTCAAGGACTCACACTGTCTGTACTCTCACAGCGACAGCTGACGACCTTCAAAAGGCGACACAGTCCTACTGCGATTTGTCGAGAGTAAGTGCCCGCATCGCTCACCTACCGATGACTTCAAACCCCTTTTACACCATCACGAACCATCATCGTGTTGGTAATCGTATTTTCTTGCTCAAGTCATTGTATCTGAGGTAACTGCACAACTTCCTCACTGGAAATACTGGTGTCAATCCATAACCAGAATTTTGGCCTATTAGCCGCCCATGGACGAAGATATTGTCGAGTTCGTCAGAAGCTGTCATTACTACCAATGAGTAGCAAAGAACCCTCAAAAAGTCCCTTTGACATCTTGGCCTCAGCCAGGGGAACCACGATTACCCATTAACCTCTCTTTTGTCGAACCAATCGTAGCGTCTCGTACCTCGTCCTGAAGTCCATGCTCTCCATCAGTTCAATCAATTCAACCACCTCCTAGCAATCAACATCCTGGGACCAAGAACATGAAGACTTCCACCTTAATTGAGCCACCAGTTACTATGGAAAGGGCCAACTACCGGAACCCTAAGTTCTTACTGGTACATTGAACACCTCTAAACGGTTCCGTTCAAAACCACAAACCAATGGCCGAGGCGCTAATGGGCTGTAGGCTTCGTCCGGTCAACAGAGAGATGGTTCAAAAAGCACAAAAGTGACTCCAAAGAGCGTTTACAGGAAACCTCAGCTTAATTTCAAACAGACATTGATGTCTACTCCACAGACTATCACCCAGGATCCTACCTGCGGATCGTTGTTTAAATTTGGAGCAAATCCAGAAAGGCTCTATTAGACATTCGGATCAGTTATGACACCTGGGTAAGGCACCAGGGTCGTAGCACACTAAGAAACCAGCAACCTTCCACCTGTAAATCTTGTTTTCACCAGGAAAAACTGATCCCGGTTCAGCCGTTCTATCGGCCACGATGGCATTAAGATAAGTAAAGAGGCTGAACGATAAATCGTAGTTACTAGCTTCATCTTTACGGAGGAAGATACCGGAGATGTCTACAGTTCCAGACAAACGAGCTCATTGCCCCACTCTAGAGGTTTGTTTCAAAAGTTTGAATTTCTTTTTTTAAGCCCAACCCCCAAACATTAAATGGATCCTTGTACTTTACATTCTCGTGTCATTCCTCCTAATTGTGAGAATGTGGATCAAGACCATCCATTTTACATACAAGCCGATGTCCGTTACTCAATACCTAGCTCCTTAATGATTTCTTGTAGAGACAGTGTCCACTAATTCCAGTAATAATGACAAATACGGATTTGTCCATTCCACTTCTCAGTAATGACAGTATAATCCTAACATTTTTATTAGTTTTTTTTGGCAGAGAACCCCTTCAACTAACAGCAATTAATAAAATTTCTTGCCCACTAAATGCAAGAGTCATTTCATCAAAAAAATGAGTCCTAACCACTTCTATACCAATCGATTAACAGACATCTATATCGCCTCACCGTTCGGAAAAATATGGAAATACCAAGTATTTTTAATCTGAAATAGCAAAATTTAGCCTCTCGTGAATTTCACCCTCCAAAAGGCCTTATTTTAGATCAGGAAAGAGATTGCTATATGGCACAGTTTTTTCAATTTATATACAACATACCAACACATCTGCGCCTCAGTGCTTCTGTTTCTTGGCCAAATGTTCACGCTTCTGCAAGTCCGTTTGTGATTGACGTCGCTTCACTGAACTGCCCAATCCTCCCGCCGTCTGTTCCTTAGCCTTAGTGGTGTTGGTGCTAGCCTCGGCCAACTTAACCTGTCGCCATCGTTGTGGATTCGTGCGGTAGACAGCAGAGGCGACTAAATTCTCCACAAATCTGCCAAACTTTGCACCCGCCAAACGGTCAGCCAAAGGTGCCAAACACCGCGCAATCTCCTCACGCAACGATAACATCTCTTTTCCCGTGGATGGCTTCGACGCGGAGGCTTCTGAGCTGCGCCATAGGGCCTCAACCACCCGGCTGCCTGATTGGTCCATGGCTAAGGTACCCAATTGTGGCTGAGATAGGGAGGTAGATAAATTATAATTTACATCCCTTAAACTACTATAAAAAGTTTAATTCATGTGGCGGAAATACTATTGCTCTCTATCTTTATCTTTTATCTTAAAATTAGATCATTCGCACCTCTGCTATTCCTCATAAGGGGAGAAATGAAGTAGTACCCATCCTTTTACTTTTACGTAAAGATGAAAAAATATATTTCATGTGAACGGAAAACCTACTTGATTGCGGAGAGAGAAAAGGAACTTGAGCTTGTAGGATAAATCAGCTGGAATACCGCTACTTTCGCGTACAAGTTCAAGCAAAAAATACTTGTAATCAATTAAACATTATAATTTGAAAGTTTCAACATTAAAAGTTCATCCCTTTAAATCTCCTTTTCAAAAAGGCAAATTTGGGGAAAATAAAAGGAAGAGGAGCTCACCTTGAGACATGCAAAGATTTGAAGCTTCCTCTGCTCCGGCACGGAGGGCGAGAGGAGGGCAGACTCAATGACCCGATGCAACATATGATTGCGCGCCCACGCGACCATTTCAGCAGCTGGCAGGCTGGCTAGGCTGATGGCCAGGCGAGTTGGACGGTGATGGGTGAAACTCAACACCTCCTCAGCCAGCAAGCAACCCGCCAACTTGCACTCCGTCGCTAAATTAAGTTTGTTGAATAAAAAAATCTTCGAAATAGATGCAACTAATGTAAAAGTATTTACGACATCTTGAAATGATACAGTAATGTGAGACTTTGTTTAACCGTGTATTTAATTGCAAAACTCTTCAGTCTGCTTGGGTTATACCTCCGCTCGGCGGTATGGCACAACGACCATAGTTATTTCCCCAAGCCTTCCTACTGCTTGTTGGAGCATTATAGGAGAGTCGGAAAGCTAGAATAAAAGAAATCACCATCTGCTAGTTCACATATCTCATCCAGTTGCCGACTGTTAGGGGTGAATTGTCCCATTTGGACCTCAAGCTTCTAGCCATTGCTGGAATGTCTTTGAGTTGCTTCTAATTGCCGCTTTGGGCCAGCAGTGCCAAATCTACTTGAACCCTCCTCCTGAAGACCATATTTGGCACTTGTACCCTAACCGGGTTGTGGTGCGATGAATAACCAGGTGCTTTAGCTGTGGTATAAGAGAATTCATTGAAGCACTGTGTATCTAAATTCTGCTGTCACAGTTCTTTCAATAGGCAACCACCACCAGATGGATCAGAGTTGCAAAACTATGAAAAATATTAGCAAGTGATTCTCTTTGTGTGATGATTCTTCATCCCATATTGGTCTGTTCGTTGTGGAGAACAATATTGCTTTCGCTGATGCTTGATTGGAAGGCTTCAGTTTGAAGTGCTAAGCTAGCTACTTCACTAAAATGGAATAAAAGGAAGACACCTATTGAAGATGCCCAAACTCAGGGCGATTATTCAACCACCATTCCAGTATGATTGTGGTCAGTTTTGAAGTTGTATTTAGATTTGTTATCGGTCTTTGCAGAGGAATTATCTTAAAACCATGGTCGAATTGAAGAAACTGTTATCGTATACACGAGTTTTGTCGTGAAGAGTCAACCAGTAACACAGACAGCCCAAAACACAAGTTGATTGACTAACTCGGTTTGGCAAAAAAAAACACGAAAAGGGAAGAACGTTTCAATAGGGTAGCCAATCAAAATTACAAAAACGGATCACATCAATTTGGAAGTCTGATCTAGGACTAAGACGATGGATATTGTGTATGAACTGAAAGTAACTGGGGTGAGAGGAAGCGAATCATGAATAAGCAGGAATGGAGTATAGCATTAGGAAGTCTGCGGGTACCTGGTGGTTTCTTCTCTTCCTCCTCTCCGTCACTGCTAGTCTTGAGTTCAGGCTGCCTCTTCAAGCGGACAATTGATTTGATTAGCTGATCGTTAGCTTTGGTCTTTGGGACATATTCGAATGCCTCCAGGAGAATCTTTACAAGAGGCAAAAACATCATCAATGCCAATTCGAATTACCTACCTTCTCACACGTAGCCTGAACGGCCTCCGCACTGGTCCCACTGCACCGACGACACGCTTCGGCCAGTGCGATGAGGAGGTAATGTTGACCGGAGTCGAGAGCCACCCTCAGACCTGTCCCTGTCTCACCAATTCCAGGCAATTGGAGGGCCGACATTATTTCTTTTAGATCGGAGGCTCGCCTCACCGCTCGGATAGTAGCGCGCAGCACTCGGCATGCGTTTTCGTGACCTGCCAGTGCAGAGACGACCGATACTTCGGTGGTGCTGCCTTCTGACAATGACGGCATGGTGAGAAGGTGGTTGTGTAGAAATTTCCGAAGCAAACGCCCCGGAAGGAGGCTAATTAGTGTCTCCATGAAAAATACCGCTACGGGGTGGGAGAATCCCATTGGAAGGCTAGTGGCAAAAAATATCCCGATATGTTAATTTGATGACACTGTATGGTACAGATAACCTTTAATAGGCGTCAGCACTAACACTTCAAAATTTCCATTGGGTTATAAGGCATGTAACTTCAAGAAAATACTCATGGCGTTTGGGCGATTGTAAATATATATGTGTTTATGATTTGGGGTTTTCAGTTGTAACAAATTTCCAAAACCATGAGTCAGTTCAGATACTTCTTTTGCTCCTGAGCACGAGACATAAGCTAAATTTGTTCACAATAGAAGCAGTAGACAGCTCAAAATATAACGAAATCATACAAGTAGGGAGGGTATGGCTAATTAAGGAATGCATAGACTGTCTTATTCAGGTTCAGAACCGCAATAACAAAACTTCTTAAAGTATCCCAAAAGAGCTAACTCAATAGGTGAGCATGATGAGTAAAAAGGACGTGAATAAGCTGCATCGAAAATTGTGAGTACATCAAAGCTAAACTACGAGTAAAATCTCAGTATCAAGTCTTGATGTGGTCACCGTTCCAAAAAAGCTATCATTATGAACAAAATGACAAGATAAGGAAGTCATACGAGTAGCTGGAGGCTTTGTATGGTAATAATTAAGAGTTCGTAATGCTTGAGGTGGTTTGAGTCGAGTTCTAGGTGGGGATTTTAATATCTTAGTTACGAATTAAGGCAAGAGGCATGCCACTTTATTCAGAAACTACTGCCTAAACTAAATCTTGGAAAGTATTGTTGGGGAGTATGACGTTCGAGTTAAAACTTGACGTTGGATATTTAATTGTCTAACGACATCGGCTTGGATAAATACATCACGATTTTAGGAATAAATTTGGTAATCGCACCACCAAGGGAGCCAAAAGTTTACTTAGACATACCGAATCTCGCGTTTTTCATCCAACTTCAGAACCTCCGCATCATCAGATGCTTTCAAGAGTTGTGACCTGCGCAAAATATTCGAACAAATCGCCTCAAAATCCTTTTCCAACCGCTTCCAGCAGACAATGATCAGGGTTTGCAGAAAAGCACCAGACATGGGGTCCACAACGAAGGCATTAAACGACTCCGAGAGAAGGAACTGATTGGTCAGGTCAGTGATCCGATCGGAGGAGGTAGGATCAAGTGGATCAGTAAGAGTGACTTTATCCACCTCATAGAGCCCCGTATGAGGAGATTTTGGAATGTTTACTCCGGAGAGAAGTTGAAGGTAAACGCGTAGAGCTGGTGAGGCATGAGACTGTTGTAGAAAAATGGCATAATTATCCCACATGAAGTCGAGATAGTCAATGATACAAGAGGAAATGAGTTCATCTTGACGAAGATCTGGCTGAGAGGTACAGTGCCGAAGAGCAGCGTGAAGGACGTGATGTGCAAATTTGGTGCTGAAAAGGGGCTCTAGTTCCTTTGTGAAGACCTTCAACAGGCAGCCAGTTGCTTCCGCTGATGCAAACGGCACCATCTTCTCCACACTTGCAGCGACTCTTCCGTTGGTACAGACAGACCAACCATCCTTGCTGAGTTCAAGAAATGTTTGCAGCACAAAGTCGGCTGAGAAGAAAATGGATTACTACTGTTGCAGATGCAGCTCATCTTTTACTCAGTATAACGAAAGTAACCACATTGTCAAACGTTTTTGTTGTTTAAAACAATCTTCTAGGGCGAAATAGCGACTGCTAAATAACTACAGCAAGACACTTGATACAAACAATGAGTCTTGAAATGAACGTGCAAAGTACTTACTCTTATCTTCTGGCTTGCATTTGCGTAGCAAAAATTCTGCTCTATCTTCGAAATACCTTACTTTGCGGAGATCAGTGTGCCTAGGAGCCATCAAGCTCAACAAAATCCTGCGTCTCGCACTGCGTGTTTCTAGTGAAAGTGTAAGTTAAAAGGGATACAGAGGGAACGACCTTAAAAGTAGAGGTCAAGAATCTATCAGCGCTATATTAGGTCCGGTCTAATTTTTTCTCTATATGGCTTTTTTGGCCACATTGTCGTTTTCAGCATCAGGTTTTAAATTTTGATTGCCAACTTTGCTAAATTAGTGTCCTAACATGACGTATTGGTCTATTTCTAAAAGACCTAAAAGAACAACAAACTAATTTTAGGGCTTTTATCATTTCAATGCAAGATTATTATTTTACGATATCTAAAAATGGTTGCCTTTAATAAGCGTGTTCCTTTTGTGTGACTTTTCGGTGAGTTTGCAGGATGGCGTTGTTAAAATGTCCAGATTTGTCTACGATCTCTCATCTTCTCGCTGATTGTCTTTTTGCCACTTACTGAGCTACAAGATAAATAATTATACTTTTATAGTCGCATAAATGGCATTTTTTTGCCTTTAGGCAATTTGGAATGACCATGCCTTTGATTCAAATTGCTTAAAACATTAAGCCAGCATAGGAGATTTAACAACTGTTTTATACCACTTTCTATCATAATATTTTTAAACGACATCAAGTTCTATATTAACAAATGCTTTTGCAATAAAATGGCAGTGTGTGAAACACATTACACCTTCGTTTATGGTTGTCACTCTCTAAGCAATGAATGTGAGCTCAGTGTTACGATCCCATGCATACACTTCTGGCACGGCCTCTCTGTTGCTAAGGTCCTCATTCAACTTATTACAAGGATTGTTTTACTACTTTGGTCTCTCTGGCAACCAGTCGTGTATTATCCAAGTTGGGCTGTTGTATTTGCTTAAAAAATAAACGCGCTTTGCGTACATTTAGTATGGATTGGTCAAAAGTCTGTACTTGCTGGTCCTGCCTTGCCAGCGCAACACCTCTGCTCCCATTGGCTCATTTCACTTTAGCAAAACAACTTACTGCTACATGCACGTTATTCTGGGAATATCTGAAAAGCGATCACGTCTGAATTGGTTGTGGTGGCGATATTTTTGCCTAAAATTTAACGCTAAATCCAGACATCACGTGATCCTTCTGCTTTTGATTTGGGGGCTGAATTCTCCAAAGAATTTGATATTTGAACGCACGCACAAAATACATATATTCCAATTGTAATGACATTGTAGCATCTTTTTTAAGCCCAACAAGCCGTTTATTGGTACATAGCCTAGATGCCAAAGTGAAAGAATCTGTTTGTTTTTTTCGTAGTAGCTTGCACACATTTTCCCTCCAAGTGAGGATGGTTCACCCCCGCAGCTATCACTGAAGCACATCCTCTTTCTGACCTTGGCCCACTTTTCTGTGGCCTGTCTTGACTATCCGCAAATATCTTTCGGCGGAAAAGTGCAAGTAGTCAGAGCCACTTTATTACCCGTGGGAACAATGCCACGTTGGAGAGTTGGCACGTGAAGCATACCACTACCACCGCTGCGTGTGTGTGTGTGTGTGTAAACTTCCAAATTATTGGGAATAGATTGCATGTTTCATCAAATGGCACTACCGTGTATGCATGTCACTTTGTGCGATTGCACCCTTGCAACAGAAGGCAAAAATATTTCTTTTGCTAGAGGTTTGCTAAGTTTTGGGGATATCAGCAATTTTAATGAGTTTTGTCGGTTGATTGACAAGAGTGTCAATGTCGAATTTCCGAGTTCATTTTAACCGGTGGGGTCAAAGCCCTGCGCTCATTGGTTGCTGAAATGGGAAACAAAGCGACAGCCTCCGTTTACACCAGGACATAACAAATGTTCTACTCGCGTCGATCAGTTAGTGTTATTTCTGACTGTGGTCATTTCCTGATAATAATCTCTCTCCGTAAAGCGCAATTTTATAATAGTTTAAATTAGGATAAAGTAGCCTGACTGTCATAAATGGTCTAGCTTTAACCATTCATCTGTCATACACGCTGCAGAAAGTGGAAAAGAAACTTGTCTCAATTTAAGCCAATTTAAAACAAATTATTTTGTTTTTGGATGCCCTCTAAATTCAATTTTAGAACTTGAATAAAGCAATATTTCTGCGTCCTCTCTGCCCACTTTTCTTACCTTTGCGTGATTCGTTGAGGTTAGAAGTAGCGCAGTGGTCAATCAGCCAATCACTTCAAGGTCATCCGCATGGACGATCGAGCACACACACTTCCATTTCCGCTTCGTGGCGCGTGTTCAGTCGTCGTCACGTGGTAATCTGGGCAAGTTATCCAACTCATTCACTTCAAATAAAGTCTCTACGTGCGCTGTCAAAACCACTCGTGGTAGAAGCCAATGGTGGGATGGTGCGTACTTGTGCCAAAGCACACATTATTTCTGCGCAGCAGTCCTGGTCTCATTCTTTGCTGATCTCCTAACTAATTGTGTGCTTTCATTATGCTTCGTAATGTGTGTTTGGCGCGAATCCCGTGGGCGTGTGCAGGTGTTTTGACTAAGCAGCGATTCTATGGCGGCGGTACGTGTCGTCTTTGCGCCAAATTGCAGTTGTGGGGGGGTGTTCTACAGGGCCCACATTGTGGATTTGCCAAGAATTGCGCGTTTAGCAGGTTAGAATCACCTAAACCCCGGCAACCACAAGCCTACGTACGATGAGTCATCTTCTTTCCGAACGGGCGTCACCCAGCCACTCAATGCCTCCCTCTAGAAGGCAATTCTTTCCTTCGGTGTGGTGTTCCGCCCAGGTTGCCATGGCGATAAGTGTGGAGCCGAAATAAGTGCCTTTGAGAAGTTGAAATGGAGGATATAAAATTACGCTTTGGCATTCCCAGGTTGCACTATCAGAGGCAGCCTCATTCCCGTAGTTTTTTTACAGTCCTAGTTGTCAGTTTTCATTTTGCATTGCGTGGTGTCAGGAGTGTGTACTCGTTGTGGTTGTTGTTCTGCAACATGAAGTGGTGCCGAGTTCACCCCACATACCTACGCATGTGCTGTTTTGGGTGTGCAGGCCTACGTGGGAACGCGGGTGTGCGCAAGCCTCGGAGGGAAGACAACGCGGTGACTGCGCGTTGTAGTCGAGGTGACTGTTGAGGGCGAGGTAGGGGGTTTGGGTGAGTCATACCCAACTCCCTTACAGATGGCAAAACACGCTCATCTTACTACTTCTAGCCTCCCTCCATTCGTGGTATTGCGCAGATGGGTTTCTCCTCAATATTTACTCACTCCTTAAATATTACTGGAAGGCTTAACTTCGTAGTTTAGGCGTTAGCGGCTTGTTATTTGATTTTGAGGCCTTGTGTTCGCTCGTGAGTGTGTGTATTTCAAACACAGGCCGTAATTTGAGGTGTGCTGCGAATTGTAGCGATGCAGACCAGTTGAAGCCTTATCCCACTTGAGAGGACGTGAAAGATGAATGTCGTGATTGAAGCGATCGTGTGGCAGATCATGGCTAGATGCTGGAATTCGTTCTAAAATAAGTGGATAAATTTATCTGAAAATGGATGTAGTTAGCTGTCATTCGCAAAAGCAAACCACAGATGCTGGACAAGTCAATAAACTTGAAGCTGGTTCTCCTTTGAGGCTGTCAGAGTTCTCATCTGTATATAAAAAAGTAGCCCCTACTGCCGTTGTTATTGTCAATCGTCTAGGCACGTATTATGCAATTCGCATAAAATACTTTCTTTAATCATAAAACCCTTCCGTGGTTAGCAGTGCAGATCTACTGAGGAATAGCTACCATCTTGGTGGCATGCCTATAGCCTCCCAACCCGTCGGAATGCTACCAGCAAATCATCAGCAGGGATTATTAAATGCACCAACTAATTTCCTCAGAAAAAAAAGAATTTGGGAAAAGGAAAAGCTACATTCCGCTGTAGAATAAGGGATGGTGACTGCGCACAGTTTGTATTCCATTTCGGACACACGCACACCGATAGAGGACGCCAAGCGTTGGCTGGAGTTGTCAAATAGTTGGTTCTGCGGGGGAAATTTGTGCTTTAGGCTAAATGTCAAGGTCTTTTCTAACACATGTTTGTATAATTAAGTGCCAAACAAGTGTCTACTCTCGGAACGCCTGGACGACCCACCCGCTACGCCTTCGGCTGTGCATCGTCAAGCTAACCAATCATTCGACTGGAAGGGAGGTGCTAGCACACACATTTGTACCCAGTGTGTGTATTTGCGTGTGTGATTTTACTAATTCATGCGGAGAAATTTAATCGTGTCTTGTGTATAATGAAATGCTAATTACGTTTCATCTACCCCCTTGCAAGCCGTACTGGTGTGCTCCAATGGTAATTCAGCTATCATTGAAACCTCCATAGACGTTAAGACCGTGTATGTGCTGCATCCGTGGTGAGAGTAACCACTAGACTCATTTACTAGCAAGGCAACTCAAGACCCTCGTGGCATATAAACCAGACACTGTTAATCACGATCTTGTCAAGTAAAAGTACTCACTTCCATCAGTACTCGTCACAAGAGTTTTCTCTCGACTTCTCGGTAGATCATCATGTGAAATACAAAATAAAAAATATAGCTTCAGTACTTGCCAAATTTCAAATGTGGATTGTTTTTTCAATTCGAGACGTTGCGCTCAGCGTTACCACAACGGTAAACTAATCGATGACAGTGGTCTGCAATGCGCCCTAGGTCACACTCACTCACGCACTCACGTAAGAATGCAGGCCTGAATGTGGGGTTACTATGGCACCACGCAGTGAGTACGTTGTTTGTACACTATGGGTGTTGTGACTACCTTGTTGTGTGCGCAGTTGCGGGTGAACGTGTGTGTGATTTAACTTGTAGTCAACTAAATGTACCAAAGTGTGGAGCCCTCAATTTACGCTACTGGATGACGCAATTTGCAAACGACCAACTTTTGCACCCAGGCCATTGGTCGAGATACTGCCGCCGTCTGATTGGTTGAGCCCCAAGGTCGTTGCTGGCTTGTGCCAAAAGTGTGAACAAGATGAAGGGCAACTGGGACTGGTCAATTGGACACGTCTGGTTGCATTCTTGGCTGGTATCCGTTCAAGCTAGGGGTACAGGTGGTCTGTCTGTTTACAAGCTAGCCTAGACTGGTTAGCTGTAGCGGAAGTGCCTGGGTTCCACCTAACGCGACACTCAAAAGGCAAGGATCGTGCAGGAGATGGCAATGATTGAGGGAACACCCTAATCCAGTTCTGTTTGCAACAATGCGAGACCCAATTTTGATCTGTTAAGTGGAGATAACTGTTTTGGAATGGTTAATTAATTTAGTACGAGAGATGGTGGGCTCTGAAGCCCCCTGTAGGTTTGGCTCAACTAATTTTATTACTTTATCCTCATAACATTTCCAATTTTAATTTAAATTGTGCATAACTTTCAAGGCCTTGTTGGACTTTAATGCCAACAGAAGAAAAATAATGAGAGAACGGCGATCACCATGAGGCAACGACCCAAGACTGACTCAACTGCCAGGGTGATGGCCCTCGAAAATCGCCAAAATTCTTAAATTCTACCAAATGAATTTTAGTTATGAGCAATTCTTCTTGTGAAATGCTACCTGCGTACAAAGTATTCCCGGCGTGGAAGAAGAGGCGGGTGGAATCTGCTCCGACTCAAATTGGAAAATTCCACGTCTCGTCCCGGCAAGTACTCTAAACGCATCCTTCCAAATACTTCAAAAGTTCTGCTTTCAGAAGTATGTACTCAAGTAGCTAGCTTAACACACAACGAGTCACGTGCCAGCTGTCATAAATATTCCAAAGTATTGTTGCGCTGGATGACAATCGACGCCGAGTGTGCTGAGGCTGTACCATGGGTAGGATCCGCCCTACTTCCTTACTGCGAGTATATCATGGAGACTAAAGAGGTGTGGACACTCAAAAACACATGTGACCCTCCTATTGGGTGACAAGTGGGAGCACCAAATGCGTTCGTCGCATTTGGAGGTACTACTGACTTTCACGTTTGTAATACCAGATTGTAGTAGATCCTCACTTCACGGAGGCACAAACTTCTTAAAGTGCAAGCAAATCCACCGACAATTCTATTTCCCCCAAAAAAATCTTTTTTACGATGCACCAACCAGAAATGATTCCACACAAAAACAGAAAAAAGTAAAACCACGAGGTTCACAAATTACACACACGCATATGCGTATATGCAGGCAATACGTTTATGTATATATATTAATAATTTTGTAAATAGAGAAATAGATAGGGAAAAAATATAGAGAGAGGAGAAGTAAGAGAAGAAAAATGTGTACAGACATGATTGTAGTTTGGCTAGGCGAGTGGCGTCACGCGATAAGAAGGAGGCGGGGGGAGGGGGAAAAGAGGAAGGTGGGAGATATCGCCCCTTCCCTTCTGCTCCAACAACACGCATACACAAAAAACTGTACACAAGTAGAGTAGACACATAGGCTAAAATACTCTTGATATTACTGCCTGATGGGGAAGAGGGATATGTACAAAGGGTAAAGATGGGTCAGGAGATCAAACAGTGGTGATGACAATGAGGAGGTGTGGCAATTGGGCTTGTAGGATGCTCTGATGCAAATCGGGCGCGGCCAAGCGTAGTAGAGTATGGGAGAATTCACAGGGGGGAAAGATGTGGACTACATAGAGACCCTGGAGAAGAGAAAGGAAAAAGCATTATCGCTAGGCAAAAGGGTACTTGAAATTCTCAGTGAAACAGCTTTCCAGCTTTGACATGGCTTCTGAAACAACGTCTACATGGGTCTCTAAGTTCACCACCTTAGCAGCAGCCATCAACTAATCCTTAGTATTGTAGTGGTTCCTGCTGAAACTCCTCTAATTAGACTGCGTCACCGTCGTTGAGGCCGTCAACACAGATCTGCAGAGTATAAGGGATTTGTCTACCGATAAGGCCAATGCGAAGAGAAATTACATGAAAAACAAACCCGTATATAGTCGTCACTTCACAAGACGAGAGCGTCCTTAACTTAAAACCCTGATTTAAAGTAGCTGACGAACGCCCTGTAAACCTACACGTGAGTCGAAAAGCCGGTGACAGCGAGGGTGAGGCCGATAGTACTGGATTTAATTCGCAATTTACAAGACGACTTACTCGCAGCAGCGGTCAGTGTATATTACGAGTACAACTAAAGAACCAGAAAAAGTGTTCATGGAATGAAAGTAAGTCTTTTTACGCTTCAAATCAACCAAGTCGGTCGATGAAATGAAGCAATATTACTTACTCCTACTATAATCACTACGGTCTGCAGTTAGGCAAATTGGAAAAGGGGAAAATACTTTAATCACACAGTCAATAGCCAAAAGGTAAAGCAGGAGTTAAAGATAGGGGAGGAGAAGGCAAGCGCAAGAGCACGAGAGAGAGAGAAGACCACCACCTTACATATTCTTCTTTTCCCTTTCCTCTGCTCTTTCCAACTAGCATTTGGCAATGCCTGAATTAGCGTGCGTGTGTACTTGCGAACGCACACGGAATCACCCAACCGATCGATAGCGTGCATCGTAAAACTGCCCCACACGCGCCTTCCTTTCAGAAGCATACATGCACCCACGCACACACGCACTCGTGAATACCGTTCAGGCAGGGTACGTGCGCGCACGCGCACGGCGCACATTCGCTCGCACCGGCAAGTATTGATCGGCCTAGCGAAAGGGCAATCGCTGCTGCTACTGCTGCTGCTGCAATTAATCAGTGGCGCGAACGTATGCATACAAACACGGAGGCAGGGACAGGGACGCGAGAGAAAGCCTAAAATTAGCTCACCATCATCGGTAGGAGCATAGTGGTGGAGGAAGTTTGTGCGTTCGTGTGTGGGGAAGCGCGGAGGCAAGACCGCCACGCCAGTCATAAACAAAAACTTTGTGCGCATGTGTATGTGAAGCGGCCGTTAAAGTCGAAGGCATGGGCTGAGGCAAGGGAGGTGAGCGGGAGCTGGAATAGTTCACGGCTCCCCTCTGTCGATAGGAGCATTACTAATAAAACTGGATTTTGCCGCCCCAGATACGGAAATAATGCCTCTTGCATGAAGAATCAATGCAAACCGTTTTCGAGAAAGCTGAAATCAGAGATGATATGGCCTCAAAAAAATTGCAGAGTGGAGCACTTAGGGATTGTGAACATTGTAAGAGAATCCATACGAGGCTCGGTAGGGTCGGTCGAAGGAGGATGCCCGTTTTTGCACAAGTAGAATTTTTGAAGAAGACAGGCTTAGAAAGCTAAACCGATTTACGGTGGATGCAAATCAGGGTGGGCGGCGGTAGGGGCGTACCAGGCATTTTGTTATGTCACGTTACCGGGACTGCAAAAGCGTCTGGAAAGTGGAACAGTACGGGATTTTGCGTTCATGTGCTCCCAAAAATCCCAAAACGCACTGCTTTTAGACACACGACCATGGCAGTGTTGCATCAGCTTGGGGATTCTCTCTTCTATCAAACCGACTCGCTCAATTTTCGGTTATAGTTGCGACGCGGCCACCTCTACCAGTCCGACTTGTGTGGAAAGCGTGACAACACAACCCAGTCCGAATGGTCGAATCTTGTACCGATCTTCTGCCATCTTCAAGATAGGATTGGAATGGGAATAAGTGCAAGAAACTGAGCTGTTTTGGATGGCTATTCTAAGCCGAATAACAAATAGGGGGGACAATGTGAATCTCCTGTCGTGAGTCCATAAAATGTTGACTTCACTGGCGAAAGTTGAACGCTACGAGAGCACTTGGTTTAGCACGATTCAATCACAGGAGTTAACACCGCCAAGCTGCATCAATCATGCACAGAGAGAAAGCCTAGGTCATACACCCTAATCACTGCTTGATCACCAAAACCAGACCCTGATGATCGCGTTTTGAGACAAGGGCTGAAAGAAGGAGCCAAAGCACGACTGCTAAGTGGAGGCTCTCGATTGAGGATAACCATCACAAGCCTTCGTTTACTTTGATGACAAGCTGACAACTTCAATGACCCAAAAGTTTTCAATGGCGGAGATTCGGCGAAAATGGGTCCCACACAAGGTTAGCCGCTCAATTGAAGAAGCCAGCGTAGAATTTAGACACCGTTCCATGATACATGCTAAATAGAGCGAGCTAGTCGGAAGGAGAACCTATGCACTTTGAAAAGTTTTCGCGTTTCGAGGAGTGTGATTGTAGAAAAGTATTTCGCAAAAAATTAGCCGTTTAAGAAGTAGGGACAGTTTTGTTGCAAAGTACAATACTTACTATAGTGACTTAGTTTATATATGTAACTTCTTTTTGTATTCATGAGGTAAAATTATGAGGGCTGAAGGCTTTATAAAAGGGGTGGGGTGGGGTGTTATGCTTTCTGCCCCGTGAGCTTAAGTGGCACTAAACACGCACAACACGGCGGATGAATGATTGAATGAACGAATGCCCGCACGCCAACACCAACCACCGCCCCCGCCTCCGCCCTCCGCGTTACGGGCCAAGGAGTGAAATGAGGAGGCCAAGACACCATCCATGCCGTAAAGTGAGCCCCCGCTTCTGGACAAGCATCAAAACCTCGCATGCTTCGATGACATCCTTCCGCAGTTTGCAGGATCCAAAAGGTTCAACGGGCCAAGATTTTGGGATATTTACGATCACAACCATATCAGCTTATTCCATGTATCAAGTGGGATGCTACGAGCAGTTTTGGCTTGGTGATGTGCGATCCCAAAAAAGGAGAAAAAGAGAAACAGTTTTTAGAAATCACACTAACTACTATCGTGACCTCCTCCATCTGCAATGACTGAGGGTTATAAGACTAAATTTTACTCAACTAAATCAAAATAATGGAAACTGCCTGCACATCTCGCGACTGTAAGCTGCATCATCCAAGTACAAAGAGAATAGCTTCAGAGATAGGCGATTAATGGACAAAGTGCGGGAATGAGCGAACGAACAGATGTCTACGTCGCAAAACTCAATCGTTGTCCATTAACTCATTCACCAGACTGCAGGATTTCCCTACGAGCCCTATTCTATTCTATGGAATTCTGTGCTGTGCCAGAGGAAGGAGGGACAAGGCCATGGTATCACACCCTCGCGTGTGTGTGGGAATACAGTGCCACGTGAAAAAAAGGAATGACGAGGACACGCCAGATTTTTCTCACCAACGTCAGGATGAGGAGGAGACAGGCGGACAGTAGGCCAGAAGAGATTTGGGACTGTAATTGCGCAGGTCATAAATGTTACGAGGTCACACACACACGCACACACACACACACACAGGTCGGGTCATCGTCTCTCAGTGAGGTCAAGTCTACTTTTCAAATTGTTAAAATGCGCGTCCAAGGAGAAATCAATAAGCCGGAAGGTTACTTCTTTTCTTTAACGTCAGGAGTATAGTCGGTGAACCATCGTCGGATTGGCATGAGTGATGATGTCTGCTGGTAGTGGCCATTCTGGTTTCATGAAACAACTTGGTGCATTAATAGGAAGGGACAAAAAGGATCAATTTGGTAAAATTGCGGACTAAGACTAAATGAGGAAATCAAAAAGAAGGACCCTCTCATTCCACATCAAGAATTGAGAAATGCAAGTAGAATGAAGGTTTGCTGAAGTAGCCCAAGTAAGGTTTAACGATTGCTACCGTTCGAGCGAGACTGAAGACTGAGAAATTGACTGAGCTAGCCTCTCTTTTCCGACTTTGCCTAGGTCATTTATGCATGAACTAAACTACTTTGACTATTCTTAACAATTACAGTCAATCACATTTCAGGACAGCCCTGGTAAAACTACAGACAGATGACCCATGAAACAGCGACAACGTAATGACTTACATCACTACTTTAGCAGCACTGGATCATCCGGAACAGACCGATCCCTTTCCTGCATCAGCAAATCCGATTTACACATCCTAGAGCGATGGGTATGATTTCATTTATTGTTGAAACAATAACAGTGATAATATTCAAGCAAATTAACTCTGCTAAAACCACAGAGGCTGGAATAGTAGGACGGATACTTCGATCAGGAAGCAGAGTCAGAGGTGAGAATCATAAGATGGAGAGAAATATAATGAGTTGGCAGTAAGGCCTGAAATGGTTGCAACCTTAACAACATCAGCTAACTTGAAAACAAGTGGCTGGATACAAAGTTAACCATCACAAAACTTTCCTCTTACTTCTGGGATGGCTAGAGAGCCTGCATTCAGGTGACCAGTTAATCCTCCTACTACCAAGGTTTAAGATGAAAATCGACTACAGCAGCTTGAATGTCTTACTACTCTACTAATGACAACAAATGCTTGTGCTACTGTTGACCACTTCAAATGCTAATCGAGGAATAGAAAAATGAGGCTATTTCTAGGCCGGGAACATCCCGCCTCCAGTTAATTATTCACGATACACAGATCAGTGCAACAAAGAATATTTTACTGAACTATCAACAACATGAGGCCAACATGAAGGAAGGAGGACCTATCGATATGGATGCAGGGTGTAGCCCAACCCGGAATTACGGTGTGGAGAAAATTTATGATCTCTGTCACCCCACAATAACCGAAGGAGAGAGAGAATGGATGTACACAAAAACGCACACACAAGTACCATCGGGTTGAAGATTTAGGGGGGGGGGCTCGTGACTCAGTCCAGACAAACGCGCTGCAGCACAGCACATACAAACAAAAGGAGGCGAGCTTACGTGCCAGCACAATGGACGACCGCAACAAGCAGTTGGCTGGGTAGCCAACAGGGGGAAAACAGGACACACGCACGCACTACATCCACCCACGCACCCAGACAGTTTATCGAATTGTAGGTGAAGCCCAATAGATAGGAAAAAGGACTGCAAGCAAGCCAGTCACATGACACACGAGACATGGCGCTACCCAGGTCAGAGACACAGTCCAAAAAAGACGGTACTGTCGCTTGGCCTTGTGTAGAATAGACGATGATGCGGGTAGGCCGCACATAATTGGCCAACTAACTTAATGAGGATTGTCGACGATGGCACAGAGCCTGCATGTCTCGCAGTGGTATCATGGGTAAGTCGCCCAAGCAGCACGGCATAACTTGGCCTGACCCGCCAACAGGAGGGCCACAAATGATTCCAATTGCAAGACTGACACGGGAACTTGAACACGTAAAGTTGGTAACACCACTGGTCTTCCAGGTTCACCTTGAAAAGTACCTCCAAAAACAGGCAGACTGTGGTAAAAGCGATGGCTTCCGAGATGGTAGTGGTAGCATCCAGACGATCGTATATCAACTGTTCGCCTGTTTTTTTAGCCTTTTCATGTCGGTAATCACTCCAAAACAAACGCTTACACGCAAACTCTTCCAAGAGCAAAATCAACACGTTTGGCTTTGTGGGGAGTTTTTTTAACCCCTTTCCCAATCTGTGAATAAGTAATCCAAGCGTTTGAAAATGTTCGAAAGGGATGGAATCCCTTAAAAAACACTGGTATTAGTAACCGAAATTCATACCAAAAGCCACAGAATCGTTGAGACACCTTGGAAGGAATACCGGCCACAGAAGTAGATTCAAGGGCTACAGAGGACTTGTTAAGAGGTGCACCACATCCAAATACACGAGATGCACAGGGCAAGCGTTGAAATCAGGAGCCTTTTCTCGCTACGACACCAGTCCATAAATAGCCAGAGAAATATCTCGGCGTTTTCTGAACCCTTGTTTAAGTAAATTTTGCAAATAACACCCAAAATTGTACCCAAAAACTAAGTACTTGGTTAAAAATGTCGGCCATAACGAAGTCAGTAACGGAGTGCGGGAGACGAGGTACACCGGCTCCATTAAAATATCACCACAGGCTCGGAAATTACTGCTTTGATTACCTCGAGGATGCCTGGAACAAACACCTACGCCACAAATTACACCTACAAAGTCGTCAGCAGGATACCGTCAAAATCGCAATAGGGTGTGAGAAAAATGAATTCCGCATAGGAGTTTTTAATATTGTGAAGGAGTTTCATAGAAAAAAAAGGTGTTTTCTACATCACGATTCGCACAAACAGAATCAATGACAAGGACAATTAGTAACTATAACCACTCAAACAGGAAAAAAACGAAGACGACTTGACCCAAGGAACCGAGAGCTGAAAGAAGTGCAGTGGAAAGCTGTCCCAATCCACCGAGATGCGACTTCTCTGCATTTAACACATGACGCAAGACCGTAACAAATAGAATTTATGCCTAGAGCCACACTTAAACTGGAGGTTCTTACCGATAGAGAAAAGTGACGCAGAAGAAAGTAGATTTCAACCAAAATCGGCTCATAAAACATCATTTTCTGGATACCTATAGGCTAAAAGTTATTCCAAATATCGTGACAACGATTTAAATGATGAGGACCGAGTAGACTGATCCTACAGAAAGGAGAAAGCCAGAGTGAGTATGCAGACAACAAGAGAAAGTATAGATCTCAACGAACCTGTACCCACAAAAAATACTTTTTTAATCTAGATCTCCACAAAACGAACTAACGAATGACACGGTGATGGAAGAGAGTAGCAACACAACTCACTTGAACAGCTCCAGGCTGGCCAACATTGATAATTCCAGCAGCACCTTTCTCCAGCATGTAGCGGATGAAACCGTCCGAGAGGGCGAGATTCTGCTGCGCCAGATCGGCCCTGTTGGCACCTGAGGCGAAAGCGACGCAGGCACAGGAGGCGCCCTCCTGCGTGATCTTCCGCTGCACCGCGTCCAACTGAGAGGCCTCCAAACGCATGCGTTGTACAATGCGCAACGGTCCCCCGGAGGTCACCAGGGCTTGCTGGGGGCTACCCCCACCCCCTGCTGCTAGGTTGGAGATGCAGGCGCGGAGGAGGTCCGCGTTCCCCTGAACGTAATGTAGGGCAACGCTCACTTCGGAGTTCTTGAGAGAGAGGCGACCTTGCCAGACCAGGGGGTATGTCTACAATCAAGTATAGATACACAAAATGAATAGGCTAAAAGGAGAAAGAAAATGTGTGGGAACAGATTGGAGGTCTCTAAGGTAAAATGCTACCTAGGGCTTCGCAGAGCAACCAAATCAACGGTAATGTAGTTCAAATAAAGATAACCTTGACGACTGTAACTGATGCAGCGGTTTATGGCAAAATAAAATATATCTTACGGTCAAAGCGGAGAGGAAATACTAACTGTAGGACAAATTAAACATTCCCAAAGATACGAACTTGGTTTTCCCCAGATCTTCACTTTGATATTGCGTAAAAACTTTTGGTGCTGCATTCAAACAAGATTCTTGATCAATAACCTTACACTTTTTGCAACGATACACAATTACGCAGCTTCTTCAGTCCTCGTATATTGTAATGATTATCTTCGTGGTAATGTTCCATTCATGTCATTTAAGCCATAACCCCAAACCAACCCTTAAATTTATATATAAACAAGAATGTGTCCGGCCTCCATACACATTATGAAGTCGCTATATTAGTAGTGGTGGTAAGGGAGACCAATTCAAATTAATGACAATCCTGACTACGGCGACTCCATTCCAGCCCCAAATGTGGCAGACGGGAGGCATATAGTGTTGACGGCCAAGTCTCCAAAGACCTGCAATGACAGGGCTTATCAAAACGGTGTCAACTTTTCGCAAGTACCACATTCTGGTCGGAAAACGATAACGTTTTAACTACTTAAAATTAGAAAAAACAAAATAAAAACGTTTAATTTCAGCCTGAGAATATGATGACCTACTTCTTTCTAAACAGAGCTTTTGGACAAACGTTACTAAAGAATAAGGGTTGGTGGAGGGAATATGCTCGTTGTAGAAGATAATCAGGAATCCCAACCTTAACAAGGAGAACTCATAAAATCGGCTTCCGCTTGTCCTGCGGCTAACTGGAATTCACAGAAATGCTCGTCAACTAGATGAGCGACCGAGAGAGGCGTTGGGGACGACCGTCAAAAGAAGGAGATAATTTCTGATTTCCATTTCGGTAGCATGGGATTCCGGTCGTCTTTTCTGCCAACACTACCTCTTCTGCGTGCTGATAAAGCTCAGTTCAGAGACACGCCTCTGCATGGCATCGTTAAGAAGGACGAGTGCGAAGAACCACGCCAGTGGGTGGGCTCGTGATGCAACACATAGGACAACGAAATGAACTTTGCCCTAGCTCCTGGCAGATGGTGTTATAGTATATATGGAATCACCATCCTTAATCGTCTTCTACACCCGGAGTGTGCATCAAGCGCGCATTTCCAGGCCATGTCCGACATCTACCTACACCAGTGTTGACATATTCCTCCTCAGGTGCTTCAGTAACCTTACATACTAATTCTATTATCATCAATGAATAATTTATTGTTTTGAGCTTACTCTGCAAAGAGGCATGAAAAAATTCAAGTAGCAAATTCAAAAAATGTGTTCGAGGTAAAACAAGGTAGTGACACAAAAAGGACAGAAGTGCGATCTCCACTTTCAACAGGTAGTCATCACAGGTGCAGCCATCAATGCATCAACTGCTTCAATGCGAAACGACTTCTGTTTGAAATGATGGCGATCAGCATCACTTTCCTGTGGAATCGCCACGTTACAGTGTTTGTTTTACACGAAGCTATTAAAAAGGCTCCAGACTGCATTGAAATACTACAACCTTGTGCTTTGCATTTTGGACCACTTTCGACAAAAGGATTACCCAATTTGCGTTTTTAACAAGTGCCACACGTAGTGTGTGTTTATCAGTAATGTGGTAACTGCGCTGGGACCGACTTGTATCACAAACAGATTGACTAAGTTCAAAAAAATAAAGTAATATTTCGGAACACTGCAAACTTACTAGACGAAATAAACACCCAAGCCGTGGTTGTTGATTTTCCTCTGAGACTGACAGTGAGTGGATTAATGAAAAAACATGGTAGTCGGAGCATTAAAACCACCCCAACCAAAGAATGTGGGTAACTAGGATAGGACAGTTTTGCTGTTTATAAGAGTTGGCCAAGAAGGATCTTAATTACGACCATTTCCACTCTTTTCTAGCACCATGGATGAAATCCCTCTTCAAAGGAGCTCGAAGTTTATAGCCCATAGGTCTTGACGGTTCAATGTTTATGCCATACATGAATCAAGTCGCTACAGAGTGTGCTCGTGTCTTAACTAGGTTTCTTCGGGTATTTCTCCGATCGCAGTGACACCATCTAGGCCCATTCAAAAGTGATTACCTACTTTTTAAAAAGTTCATCATTAAGATATATGAATTCACTCAAAAACCTGAAAATCTTCTTATGGAGAATGTTTGAACTATCCCATTTAACATTCACCACCTTGATGATAAACTCAGACCTTCAATATGAGAGACTTAAACAAAACTCCGAAGGCTAAGAAAATAAGCACTAGATCTTTGGCATAAAGTCCACAGTAGGTGTCAAACCATTCTCATAGGTGTAAAATTGCCACATAACAAGTTGACGGATAAAAAAAGGTAGCAATATCAGCTAGACAATACCTAAAAATCAACTAGATTTGCTGCTACAGGTCCGTAGTAGGGGAAATTCATGCAAGGAAATAATGAGGAAGGTCGGAGTGAGGAGGAGTGTACTTTGACTGCGTAAGATGGTCACTCATCCACTTCATAACAAGGCCGTAAACTGAATAATAAGGGCGACAAATGGCATTGGGTACCCCAAAGACTATAACATTATCTAGGAAAGAGACTTGCTTAATCCAATCCAAATATCAAAACCTTGATCACATGCTTTGTCGATAGAGAAGGTAAAAATCCCAGTCTGACGAGTAAATGGATATCAAGGGGGGCTACCGATTCATTTAATTCATAAAGTAAGGTCGTTGACGTTAAACACACCCCTATAACCCAGGCATCAAATGCTTAAAGCAAAAGCGGACACTAAAATTGATAAATTAGCAACTGGTAAAGCTACTCAAGGTCCTTCATTTTCGTAAGGTAGTCTATGATGTCTGCAATTCCGACAAAAGCACTACAAACATATAATTGCGTAGACATGACAAGCAAGATGGTTACTTTGAAGCTTGACAAGCCTGTTGACAGAAGAGAACTTTAGGATTCCACTAACCAGATTCACTCGACCATCAAAAATAACATTGAATTCCGTGGAAGCTACGAAAATATCTTGAGTAAACTCTTTAAAATGCGTTATGAAACTTGGGAAGGTACTGAATTGCAAAAAATATTCTTGATAGCTTTAAAGTTTAGCTAGTGGGCTAGACGTCACCGAAGGAAAAATATCACATTTTCCATTTTCTAGCCAGTGATTGAATAAGTCGTACCTGATCGAAACTTCCAGTTCTTGGAGCGGGTGGAGTGGCTGCGCCTGCAGCTCTTGAAAGATGGTGATACTGTCCACTGCCCCCACCGCTGCCGCCACTAGCGGATGTCTGAGATGGACTCGGGGTTGAGGTCACAGCATTTGATGGAGGTGGAATACCCCCACTATCCCCGCCGCTAGCACCATATTGCTGAAACATCTTTGCCAACGAAGCTAGTAAATCCGGATCCAAGTGTTGACCTTCTTGCATTGCTGATTGCAGCATCGGGAGCACTAAGTCCGGATCAATGAAGCAGGAAAGCTTTTCCAGCAACGATACAGGGGAGAAAGCATTCGTCGTCGCTGTCGTCGCCGATGGCGATGACTCCTGGCGCGTTGGACGCGGATAGGTAGACATTGGATTCATAGACCATGGCATCGGAGTGTGGGGAAGTGGTGGTGGCTGAGATGCAGCAGATACATGGCGTGGTGACGAGAAGGGGGGATACCTCGGCGGGGGACTGGTGAAATTGCGGGGATTGAAAATCGGGCGCTGTTGAGGTTGTCTAGTCGAGCCAGAAACGGAAATAACGTCGTCAATAAGACCAGAGGCGGGTCCGTTATTGTCACTGCCACATCGAACGCGGTAGGGGTGGGGGCTCTCAATGACACTATCTGTCGTTGAAGACTGGGGTCGAGACACAGCTATTGTCGAAGTGCTTTGTTGGTGAAGCAGCTGCTGTTGTGACATGTTCGATGGGGTTGTAGTCATTGTGACGGGATGCGAATTTGTCACGGTGGTTTTGATGGGACACGACACCGCTGCCGCTACAGCAGGAGCGTTCTTCGTGGAACTGTTGGCAGCCGAAAAGACGTTCTGTAAAGAACAGTGGCGAAAAGTTAAAAAAAAAATGCATCCCACCTAACATAAGGGATAAACGATGAAAACGATACAGACCTTAAAAAAAACCGGAAACGTGATAGTGGTGGCGGAAATTGTAGGGGGATTGGAACCGACGATAACAGTGGATGCCTTCTGCGGGAGTTGTTGACCAACCCCAGGGTTAGCTTGCCTCACTCCACTAGCACTATTATTCGCACCACCTCCAATCACCACCGGACTACCGGTGATTGACTGTAAAGCATTAATGATAGCCGTGAAGATGGGGTTGTTTGTGGGAGCAGAGACGACCGGTGGCTTGGTCTCAGTCGCTTTCGCTGCAGTCGTTGTGGCTGCCGTTGTCGACATCGGTGTTGGCATTGCCGTGGTAACAGTGGGAGGTCCGCTGCGGGAACTCGAAGTGGGTGGTTGCAGGCCCCAACTATCGAGGTAGCTTTGCATATCAAACCGACCACAACAGACGTCCGTGATAATCTCATCCACCGAATCCAACCCACTACGTCGAGTGGTATTGCCCTTCAAGGTATCGCTGGTCGAAACGGCCTCCTCCGTTGTGGTCACACTAGACACAGTAGATGCTGTACCGGGATGTTCTGAAGCGAGAGACGTGTTGACAACCAGTGGTGAGGTAGCATTCACTGTCGGCTTGACAAGAGGAGGTGAGTCATCGTCAAAATTAGGTTCGTAGGGGTCTGTCGGTTGTTTGGGAGCAGGAGTAGCAACATCCATCGCTACCATAGGTGTTGTAGTTGCTGACGGCACTGGAGGTGCGGAAGTTGCCGCCATTGCCATCTTCGCACGCCGACGGGTAGTCGAACGAAGAGTCTTCGGTTCAACAACCACTTCGGGAATTAGTTTGCTGGGCGACGAGGGAGCATCACTGAGAGGTGCACATGCGTTGACTCCCGGAATGCTCAGAAGACCGACCCCTGAAGACTCAAACAGCATCTTTCCAGTTGCAGAGCGCGCATTTGGGGAAAAAGCAGTCGATACCAAACCCGGCGGCGTGGCTCCCGAAGTTCGCCTACCAGTTGCAGGTAAGGCACCCTTTCTTCCAGCTTGAGGGAGGGAAATAGGAATGGGAGGAGGAGGAAGAGAGAGAGGAGGAGGGGAAGCTGTAGGAGGATGATGTAGGGGTGAGGTGATCGGTGTAATTGAGGTCACGGAACGGTGAGTCGCTGCATCTTCCACAGTCTCAGCTTTAACCCGCTCAATCACACTCTGGACGTAGCGCTTCAAATCCCGATTCTCTGACAGAGGAGTCAATTTTTCAGTAGGCTTAACGCATGTATTCTCTTGGGTCACAGAAACTGCAGTTCGCACACAGGTTGTCGTCTCCGTTACAACGTTTGCTGCTGATCCAGAGCGAGAAGTTTGCACTGGGATTGTGATGATAGGCGAGGGACTAGAGCGAGAACACGCTGAGCAGAGTGACTGAGTAGGTGAGGAAGAAGAGTACGGTGAGAGAATTTGTTGAACGTTCGGAGGGGGTGGGGGCGGTGGAGGAAGTGTGCCGGGGTCCAGTTTGGGTGGTGTCGGTGGTGCCTGGGGTTTGAAGATGGCGGAAACAGTGGGTGACACTACTTCGTCTGGGAGAGGAGGTTTCACTGGCTCTGCGGTCTCTTCCACCAACGACTTCAATGATGACTTATCACTGCTCTCATTCAACCTTGGTGAGGGTTGATCATCCATCCTAATATCACCTATGGCATCGCGGTTGCTAAGGTTCAAGGAATCCTCCTTGGAGGTGTTGAGGATATTAATGTCGTCAAAGCTGATTAACAGGGGCTTTTGATCATCGCTCCGACTATCTCCAATCTCCTCTTCTTCCTCTACCACCGCTTGCTCCCGCTCCGGTTCCACCTCCGAGTCGGAGTGATTACTGGACATTCGGGTGAACCACTCAGAGAGTAGATGCTCGGGCTCCTCCTCCCCGGTCTCTGGTGAGATCTCCATGGCTTCTGTAGAGGGAGTCATTGCAGTGTTGGCAGAGAAACGGTCAAAGTCGTCCAGACTGTAGCCATCATCGGCCTCAGAGAGATCGACATGAAAGTCCGAGGAACGCAAGGGAGGAGTGGGTTTCGCTAAACGACTTCCGCATGAGAGAGGAGTGGAAGCGCTTACACCCTCTATATCTACGCTGCGCCTTCGACGTCTGGAAGACCCAACACTGCAGAGACTACTGCTACTACTGCTGGTGGTGTCACTGACTCTACTGGGAGAGTGTGTTCTCCGTGCCTTTGCTTTGAACTTAGACGTGGTTCGGAGCCTCTGGGTCTTGCTATCGGTGTTGTAGTTGAGTAAGCTAACTTTGGCGTCACTTGACCACTTTAGAGGCCTTGAATTATGGGTTCGGTCTTTCTCCTCCCTCTCATCATCAGTTGAAAGACTAGAGGAGGCGACCCTGCTAGATCTAAAAACAGTAGTCTGAGTGGAGAGCCGCCGCCTTTCCGTCTTCCTAACCGTTGCCGTTGAAGGGGTAGAAGGTTTGACACAATCTCGTTGGCGTTTTATTCGCTTCTGTGGAAGCGAAGGGAGTGTGGGACAGCCTGAAGCACTGTCCACATCGTTGAGGGAGAGGGATCTACTAACTGACGGTTCAGTGGTGCTTCTGCTTCCAATCAAAGAAGAAGGGTTGATTCCTTTGTAGGAAGAACGACGAATCGAAGTCGACTTAACAGTCGTATCCTCTGAGGTGACACTTCCGGAGCGAGATTCACCAGAGGCGGAGCGGAGTCGAGATGGTCGTCGATCTCCGCAGCTGGAGGGAGATTTGGAGATAGTGTGGTAGCTAGCAGTCATAGGGACACTCATTCCCAGGCTCAGGCGGGTGATTGTTGTGGAGACAGGTTTCGATGGTGGTTTAGCAGTCTGCGATTTCTGCCGGTGACTTTCAACCGAAGATCGAGAGGACGATGTTGGGAGGTTTTTGGAAGGGCGACTGCCATGTCTATGACGTCGAGAAGATGAATCAGAGCATTTCAGCTTGTGTCTTTGCCTCAGGAGACCCATTTCCTCCACCAGGTCTTCTCCACTTCCTTCGTAATTGCCCTCATCCTCAGTATCACCATCGAGACCACCTTCAAGCGTCGGTTGGTAGTGCTGTCTCCGTCGCCGCTTCCTCCTCACTAGTCGACTTTCCTCGCCTTCTTCGGATTCCAGGCAGGGTCGCTTTCGACGCTCCTTTTCACCCTCCGTGCGTCGTTTTATCTTGTCATACATCGACTCGCAAACATTCACTTCTTCCGGCAGATTTAGCGAAACAGTGTTGGTGGTAGTAGTGCCATGACTCCGATTAAGCTCCCCTCTCAATGAACCCAAAAGTCGCTTCTGAGGGATGAAGAGTGGTGCTTCTGTGACGCTCCATCGTTGTGATGGGAACGTCGCTGCTGGTGTTGGTGGTGGTGCGGTATTGGAATTGGCGAAACGCTTGGAAAGGGAGGAATTCGACGTTGAACTGCTCCGCGAATACTCCTCCTCACTTGACTCATGACGTTGTTGTTCGCAAGGACGATGATTGCCGAGAGGAGGACGCAGATCTGAACTCCTCGACTTCTCATTCACCGTATCAAATGATGGTGTTGGAGGAGGCGGCCGTGTTGTCATTACCGCTGGTTTCAGTCTAACCGTCTCCACAACTCTATAACGCAAAAGGTATGTTAGCCTCAGCTGTGTACAGTGAGATGTCAGGAAAGACAATACCTACTTTGCAAAAGTCATAACCTTTCCCATTTGCTTAGGACTAGCAAAATCCACCGAGCAAACAAAAGTGGGCAATCGAGGGGTGGTGAGTGATTCTGGAGACCGGTTCTGCGTAGCCAAAACCAGTGGTGATTCGGACGAACGAAGATATTCCAGTAGTTGAGTAGCCAGCTCCTGAGAAGCGAGTTCAACCAAGGCGCAAATGTGGACGGTGGTATTGGCCGAGGATTCTTGAGATCGAGTGATTTTGGAGACCTGTGCAACAGGAACCACACGAGAGAAGAGGGTCTTCAGTTCCCCTTCAGATTGATGGATGAGAGGAGTGGGGATATCGTTGATGAAGAGACAGCTGACCGGTCGACTGGGTGTGTAGAGCAGACGCAGAGGTCGACCTCCCAATCTCAGGGGATCCCGTTGATGTGTCGTCATCGCGCGAGTGGAACCTCGCAGTTCAACGAACTCGATAATCGCGGAATTGCTTGTTGGACGCATTTGGACCTGCTAAAATGCCGAGAGGGAGAAATCAAGATGGGTCTAAAACTACCAAAAATAGGCACAACAAGAGAAAAAACATACTAGGATGGAGCCGAATCTCTGAAAGGCAGTGTTGAGTTGAACCTCGGAGACGGGTCCATTGGGGCCCGCTGTGAGGCCATGAACAATAAGAGAGCGAGTGGGAAGACTGAAGACCGGAGAACGAGTTGTGCGCGGAACAGTCAGGGAGGGAGGGGGAGAGTTTGAGGAATGTATCGTAACTGAGGCTACCGTTGGCGAGGGTCGGATTCGCGGACCCGAGCCAATCACTTCGGAATCTGCAAGTAAATTTGATGGAATAACCGACCAAAACTGAATAGTTTGCATTGTCAATACTCGTTTGTTTATTAATCTCACGAGTGAAGCCTGTATAAACAGAGGTAACCGGTTTATATGCAGTTACGTATGTGTGATGTATACAAATTGGTGCATGACGCAAGAGCCCTTGAAATGTCACCAGCAGTAAGATCTTCCAGTCTGATTTGGAGCTACCGTCTTGAGAAGTCTGTTGATGGCATCAACCTGAGCTGTGGAGAGTTGATCTGATAGCAGGAATGTGGCATAGGGGTGAGGAGATGCTTGCAAGGCATCAAACGGATGATCAGAAAAATGTGCGATTGCATGATTGGTTTACAAATGACTAAAGAGACAAGTAACAAAACACACGCAAGGACTTGTGATTTCTGTTTACAATAACACACGTACTTACACGTATGCGCAAACACACGTACACATACATACACACACACACACACACACACACACATACTAGGCTATTGATCAGATGGAGGCACCTAACAACGCCGTATGTGCACACATACACGTAAATATTCACACGTAGCATATGGTGTGTGCGTATGCATGTGCCACTGCACACACACACATGAGAATTAGATAAAGTGTAGAGCCACAAACTTCTCTTGCGCCTCTACTAAAGCGCCACTGCAGACGAGAATAGGACAACGCTCAATTCAGCGAGTAGATGGTCCATTTCCAGCTTTAATCAAACATTTCCCAGGAGGAGAATAGACATTTTATTTGAAATCCAACGCACACAAACAGCGTCAATTCACTGCCTATGAATAATTACAAGCATTACCAGACTACGGCAGTGTAAGACTCCAACACACACCATTGCCTTAAAAACTTTCCACAGATTATACACCCACCAAATCTTAGAAAGGTGCTACCAGTTGTGAGAAGTAGAAGAGCAATAAGAAAAGTGGGATTATGCAAAGGATTAAGGGAGGAAAGTAAAAGAAAAAAAGGACAAAGCACACGCCCATTCTTTGGGTTGGTCATCTATCCACCAATGTATCAAACTAGCTATCCATCCATAAACTTGCCCAGTCATCCAGCAGCTCATGTAAGCATTCAACCCATTCAGTTTTCCACCTATCCATTCATCAATTCATGTATTAGTTCAATTAGCGCTTCAGCTATTCGGGTGGTCGTCCTTTCAAGCAGCTTGGCAATCATCAACTGTTAACTCCAATGTAAAGTAACTATTTTTACTTAGTTTACTACATACGAAGAATTCGTTCGACATCAACTGCTTACGATGAAATTGAGTCGCATCGCACATTTCTGTTCCGAAAACCACCTTATTAGATTGTAGAAGTTTTACCATCCATGGAAATAGCAACGGCATCAAAACACCAAGCGGAGAAGAGGAGGATGAGGATTATCGGTAAGTAAGCTAAACAAAAAGGGAAGAAAGGGGAGAGCGAGAGTGCGACTTATTCAGAGCAAAGGAGGAGTGTGGCATTTTTGCCAGGCGTTTACATTCTCAAAATTATCCACTTAAGAGGGAGAGGGAGGGTTTACTTTACAACCATCGAGATGCACCGGAAACAGCAAGCCAGCGAGAAATGCCCCATTCCATACAGTAGTACCAAGTTTGAGGGCCGATATTATAAGCGGCGGTGTGCTGTTTTAAACCCATGCTTTCGTTTCTGTTTGCGTATTTCCAAAGACCCACATTTCACAGAGAATCCAAGTAGAGCACGGGTTTGAGTAAAAAAAGGGATTAGTGGGCTGAGAAATGATGTTATGACAGACAAACTTAATTTCGCAAATGAGTCATCCACTGGGTAGATCAAAGCTGGTAGCCAGGTGATTAAACTCAAGGTAGCTATGTTGTGAAATACATGTGAATCAACAAAATAAAGGCTCGGCGCACGTTACTACTTCGACAAATTACTAGATCATTCGAAACAAATCGACATGACAAACAGAGTAGCATGAATTGGCTTTATTGCCTACGCAATAGTAAACAGGAAAGCGGTATCATCTTCAGAGCAAACGCTGGATAACGCCGAGATATTGAAAGTCCCACTGCCCAAGTGTGGAAGTGTGAGGCAGAGCATACACTACAAGTTACATAGGAAAAAAAAAATCCAGAAAGTTAGACGGATCTTACTGCTTAAAGTCAACAATAACAACACAGGCCCTTAGAATCGAAATTGGGCATTCTAAAACGAAAAGACGGTAGAGAGCTTACAAAGGAAAGACACATAGAAGGCAAGTAAACACTAGACTATCTAGGCATAGTGGACTTACCCGTAATAGAGCAGAATTCCACATGCACCGGAGCACCAAAAAGGCACCGTCCAGCATTGCAGAACGCCAGATAGGCCCGCTCCTCATCCTCAGTACGCCGAAACACCACCAGGGCTACTCGCGTTTGTCTGCCTCCCGTAGCTGCTGCGGGCAGCAGGTTCACATGGTACGTCTTAACGAATTTGTGCAGCTCGTCGCACAATGCTTGTTTAATTTGCGTCTCGGTGTACTTCGGCGGTGGAGTGAAAACCACTTTGAGGGAGGCACTGCCGACGGTGCCTTGCAGACCACTCTGTCGGTTTGAGGAGGAGGAGGAAGAGGGGGAGGCGGTCGACTGAAATCGCAGTTGTTGAGGGGGCAATTGACGCTGCTGTTGCTGTTGGGGCTGATGTGCTTGATGGGGGTGGTGGTGATGATGGTGGTGGTGATGGTTGTGACTTGAGGCTGCTGAACTGGGACCCGCTCTGTCCACTAGCATTGTTTCAGGTTTACTGGATAATTATAACAAATTAAATTTAATCACTACGTTGCATCCGAATTAATCTTGAAATTTCACGACGGAACTACAAGTACAAAAAGTGAGTCGCAAGAATTCGGCTCGATCTCTGATTTTAGGTAATTTCGTAGTTGCGAAGAGGCATAATCACCAACTTTAGATTCATCATAAGTACGGAACACAAATTATTAGGACTCACCAACACGTGGGACACTTCAGTTCAAGTGTTCGTGTCAGTGTGCTTCGATTTCCACTTACCGTATTTCTATGCGGCACTGGCTTCACGACTACTTTGGGTTGTAAACAGATGGGAGCAAAAGCGACCGAATGAAGTGCTTAGCCGGGGGAGAATACGGCTAATTATTAAACGTATGGTCTACAGCTAGAGAAACAATTTTTCGACAAGCAATTTAAATTCACCCACGTGGAAGGACTAAGCTGATAGCACAACTGCAGGGTTGAAAGGAACTGAATCCAAAACTACACGTGGAGAACCAGTAGCAGCATGGTTTGACGTTTTAGATAAGTTGGAACATATAAACCAGATGAAAATAGACAAAAACTGGCCCGACTATCTATATGACAGCTCCCAGGGCAAGTGACATGAAGAGTCAATCAAGTGGAGTAATAAAATCAAAAAATGACAAGCTAGTAGCCTACACGATAAGCATTTGCAAATCTTACTACGGAATTCCGAGTGAAGCCAGTTTTGAAAATAGGCAAGACAATGATTTTAAATGATCAAGCATGTCATGAAGTAGTGATCAAAAAATAAGCTAACACGACTACAGAACAAAAAAACAATTCAGCCTTCAGGGGAGCATACCAGTCTCAATTGACCAGTTGGGAGATGTAATGAAGAGGGGAGAGAAGGCTAAAGCTGATCCAGTACAAAAGTATATTGATGCAATAGCGTCAATAGATAAAGTGAGGTGGTTCCTACTTGTCGCAACCAAATGGAGCGATAAGTACAGATCAAACAAGGGCCGACATGTTAAGTGGCATGGTGATTAAGAGCGTTTCACACTGTTCAACAAAAGGTGTACTAGGAAGTAAAAGTACAAAACAAACGCATCGCACTAAGTATACACAATCTATCGATGATAAAACACCTCGTTTGATGATCTAATACTGAGGTTTTCTCAACTCAAAGTGAACAAACATGACCTGTCTATAAATGGTAATTCAAAACCAACGAAATGCAAGATTTGGCAAGCCTGGTGTGACTAATGTAACATGGGAGAAAGATATGCAAGGGATAAAATGCAACAAAGGGGTTGAATCACCTGATGCAAAAACCGAGTTTCTATGGAAAATCAGCAAGTCGGAAAACCTGAGGTCTTTACGAAATCAGTAAGTGGCGTGGATAAGTAAAGTACCTAAACAACAAAGAGTGGCAAACAAATGCATAAAACAGCAAATGACACATAAGATGTTTAAATATATAAGCTCTGAAGCAAATAAATTGTCTACCAACCGATCAGATCTTTGGTTTTGCGGCAGTCCAACAGGGGAAATTCGATGAGACGTGGAAGGAATCCAAGGATTACCAGAAGAATCGCAATAATCAACTTTAAGAATATTTCCTTTCAACAAATTTTTCGAATGAACAGCTCGTGTTGCAGATGAACGATCGAGGTATTCCACAATAAGGTTAAAACAGGAATTATGATGAACAGTCTTTGTGGCTTTAATGTCACCGTGGCTAAGGTAGAAAATGAAAATCTGTTTAAAATAAAATGCAGTACGGATTGAAAAAGATAAATAAATGGAAAACCAACTTACCGTCGAAGAACTCGAGTTACGTCCTCCTCTCTACATTTGGAAGGAATGTTAGTTATCCACAGATACTTGGTTTCATTCATATCTTTAAATACCCATGCACTAAAATATTGTGCATGGTGCTCAATAACTCTTTTAGCTACAGAACAAAGGGAAAATCGTCGCAAATGTCGATTATGTACACATGCACTTCCGAAGCACAGTTGGCACGAATAGCATAACTGCAATAAAGTGATTGGTTAAATTGAGATCAATTCTATTAAACCATTGGTGTATTGGCAGTAAAACTCAGGGTCACTGTTGTGATACGAAGGCGCTGCAAATGAGGAATGTAGGTGTCGAGAAGACTTTCAGAGAATATCTGTGCTTCAGGACAAGAGTGACCGCTTCTTGAGGAGGTTTCCCGTTAATACAGGTTTAAGTCTCTGATTGTACCTGATAATGGCCTTCAAACTGAGATACCTTTTGGTAGTCGCGAGGGAAGGGGTTTGTAGTCAGTCACCTAATTTTGCCCTTTAGGCTGGACGTGTCCTGCTTTCCAAATAGCGGCACGGTTCAGTGCTGTCAAACTTAGGACGCATGTGGATTTGTGGCAGCTCTAGGGGATGTGAGAGGCATCGGCCCAAATACCTACTTGAATGTAATCAACCATTTATCTCCATTTTATGGGACCAACCAGCAGATTTCCCATGTAACTTACGCATATTGATCTCGCCTCTTGATACGCGTTGCGGTATACCACTTGATCACTTGTAAGTATACAACTCTTTCAGCCAGTATTCGCCTCTTCGGACACCTCTCCGTTCCCCTTTTTTTCTCACGAACTTCTTGGACAACCTCCGACTTTCATTAGCCAACTGCTGGAATCGTGGAATTACAATTGCCTCTCTCTATGATTGTGTAGATGAGAGGAACTTGTCATGGGCGAGAGGGCTTTCAGGACAAGATCAGAAAGGGTTTGAGACTGGTCGCCGACGAAGCCGTAGCTACTTGAGGCCATTGGGGCCGCAGTGCTCTGTCGGTTGGTTGCTGAACACGGCAGTGGTGTACCACACCTATGTTTTACCCTTTCCATCAATCGTACATTTGCATGTGTCATGCCTTAGCTTCCCGAACTGCCACCACTAGGCGCCCGTTGCGCACACGGCTATGGCAATTTGATAGCACGACAAATTCTGTGCCGAACGGGCAACTGTCCCTCCCCCTTCAGTGTATTCCACTTGGCCCCATAAGATGTTATTTGTATCTCGAAATCTACTACCCGAGAAATCCCCGATACGGACAATTGTTAGACGATATTTAGTCTTTACAGGCGCTAAACAACACAGATATACGTGAACATTTCGTACCAGATTTCGTGATATGGAATGGCACACTGAAGGACACTTGTTCGATCGAGCATTATGAATTTGCTTGGCAGCAAGTTCGGGGCCCCGAAAACTCGAACATTGCATTTTAAGGTTCTGGGGGACGTCCAGTTCGATATGGTGGGGAGTTTATTGAGAGGCGCCTCCACTTAGTCGGGTCTCAAGGACAGCCGAACTGCGCTGCCCTGGTGCTAGGTGAGAGGAGGTCTTCGCTCGTTTGACTATTGTGTTCGGTAAAGTAAGGTGGAAGCTAGTGCGACCAACCGCTCAGCGGAGCCAAAAAATCGTCTCAAGGTCAAGATCTCCACGACGAGCAAGCCGCAGCTTCTAGGTCGCATGCCGAGATCCTGCACTTGCTTGGAGTACCTAGTCAGACTACCTGAGATTGTTTACGCTTGCAGACCCAAGACTAGTCTACATAGTTTGACTACTAATGTTGCAACGAAATCAGCGACTCAACAGGGGAAGTTGCGACCTTACTCGGTTCCCATTCAGCTGGGTATCATCATGAGTCAAGGCTGTTGCAGGAGCATCATTAACAACATTAGTGAAGTTATACATATAAATAATTCAGTGTTGATAAAGCAGTGATTAAATGAGCAGTTGGTTCACATAAATTGCAGTTCTTTATCATGGCTATGCGATCGCACAAAGAGCCCATTCTGCAATATATATAATAAAATAGTGATCGTGGATGAAGTGTTGATTTTGTGTCCAGCAAAATTTATTGAACTAGTTCAGTCAAAGGTTTCCAACTCAAATGAGTCTATAAGAGGATTTCAAATTTAAAAAACCATTTTTCCGTCTGACACCGTTGGGTAGTGAGCAAAACCAAACTATAATTCTGTTTTACATTTTATTAGCGTATGATTTCCGGTCGCATTGCCTATAAACTAAAAAATCACAAAATCCTTTTACTGTGCTCTGTTTTAAGCATCTGTTAAGGAATCACTGGGCGCCTTAGAGGTAGATGAAGGTAATTGTAATGGCAAATATGTCCATAAATGAATACTATGGCCAAAATGCACCTCTGATTGAAAAACAACTAGACTAAATTGGATTGTAGAAAATTTTGCAGTGATTTTGCATTTGTAAATACATTTCGGTCTTCGCATACCCTTGAGCCACACTGCCCCTTGAGGAATGACTCTCAGTGCACAGCCCGTGATATCTCCCATGTACTGTTAAATATTTGATAATGGTATGAAATATTGCGAATTTACAGTGGACTTAGGGAACTTCATTGACTCTGAGGCAATGGATCCCAACCCAAAGCATAATCCTGATGCATTTGGCGGGTCATGGAAACCCTAAAGCCGCAGAAGAGAGCACCTGCCCTTCAGTTAATTTACAAGATAAGCGCGTCCAAACTTATGTATTTTACAAATTCGAGGCAATAAACCAACTTAATCACAATTGATGGCACTTTGATTGTACCTCCTGCACTTAAACTCTGAGCGTGATAGAAAGGAAGGATATATCGAAATTGTAAAGATTCGCAACAGAGAGGCTATCAAAATCATGTTCAGTGTTAGCAAATATCTTACTCCCATGGTACCCAAGATTATGAAAACTACAACGAAATCGGTTTTGTCAATTCGAAAATTTTCATAAAGAGAGCAGTTTGCATTATATCCATTATAACTTGTAAAATATGCCAAAAGTTATTTTTTTTTACACTGCAGTGGTTTAAAGGCACAAAGTTTACATTGAAGGAATTTGCAAAGAGAAACAATAGTGAATACTAGCTCCGTAAAAGACCTTTCAATCCTACTATTTTAACTAACTTTGGCATCACACAAGTGCTCCAAGAAGTAGCAACTTTAACTACAAATCAAACTTATGATTGCTTTACTTCTCCAAACAAAGTTTCTAAGTTCAACGAGACTCCAGGCACAGTGGAATTGACAAATTGCGTTAAACACCATCTCTTTTCAATAAATATTATGCACCCGAAAGTTGAAGGAAAGTATATTGTGGTTTAACATACTTAACTACACAGACTGCGATTTCATTGGGATGGTCTTTAGGACATGCTTGTAGCCCCAGACCTTCTGTACCTTAAAAACAAACCTTCAATATAAATCTGGCTATAATAATACCAGAGGAGGCCTGAAACCTAAAACTCTTGGCAGCAGCTGCAAGTCGAGGGCAAAACCTCCGATTTTGTTAGGCGAATCCATGTTATAATGTAATATGCCTGTTGTTTATCTCTCGATTTTGATGAGGAGCCGCTCTTGACCTTGCCATTGTACCACGCCGGGTGGGCTGGCCTTTGGGCCATGCCAGTGGCCCTAGTACCTTCTATTAGCCGAATATACTTATTTTACCTGAGTATTACGTCTTCTTTTGTTTTCATGGATGTCTCGGGGGACTACAATAACTTTACAAGAAGTCAAGATCGGCTGCCTTTTGCTGGTAATGGGGGGATTTACAACTATGGGGCTTTTCCTTCGGCAAATTTTTTAATTTCGTGATTAGATTTTAACAGATTCTAATCAGCTACAAAGAAGCACCTCATGCCCACTAAGTATGATATTCCCTTTCCTAGTGTTGCTTGTAGGCAAATCCGATTGCAAAAGTGATCAACATACAGAACATGGATGCTGTTCAACGCAACCCAGACTATGCCACGGTTCCCTTTATAAATTATACTTGGCACAGATGCCCTGGCGGGGGCCTCAATAGTCAAAGTTGTCAACCAGACGGACAGCATGTATCATCATTAACAAGCAGCAATCTTCCCAATTTGCATAATCCATCATATCGTATTAACAGGTAAACTTAACAAGACCTACTAAAAGAGTGCCACAAGAAGTGCTGAGGACACGACTTACAAAAAGATATCGAAGGTATCACTAAGCACTTTGTCTAACTACAAATTTGAATAGGCAGAATCTTTAGTCTCCACCGGCTGCACCTTTACTCGTTATAATAAACTTTCGATCATGCCTGTAGATTTTTTGGCCTCCGAAGAGTAGGCAACAAACCTTCTATTCATTTTAAGATTATGTCAGCTTTAACAAATACTTGTGTACAAAAGCATTGTATTTCAATTAGAAATAAACTATCTTTCTTTAAGCGAAACTTTCACAAGCCGACGAAGGATATTTTGCAATTCGTAGGCAAAAAAACAGAGGGAATCATTAGTCTATAGATCATTTCAAAAGTAGAAGTCCGGTTAAGACATGAATGATTAATTTAGTCAAATACTTAAAGGATGCATATTTAAACGGATAAATGTGCTTCAAAATTACTTGAGGCTAGCACTGATCAACAAAAGACTTAGAGGCAAAATTCTCGGAGATAAGGGTTTATTGTGAGTAACAAAGTGTGTGGTTATTTCAATATACTAGTAACCTTATGGCACTGACCTTAGCTTCAGGGTTCTGTAAACACAATCCTGTTTCAAAAATTTACCCCCACAGCGTAGTGTTAGAGCAATGAATACAAATTTTGGCGTAGTCCGGCTACTATGGGCCATTTTTACTTTGTGTATCGTGCACGTCGGCTCTGTGCCAAAATTAACATTTCCGGAAAATAGCCTATGCAACTTGTTGGTATTTTTATCTTACAGCGTACTTTTTTGTGGCAAGTTGAAGTTATATTTTTAAAAGCTTGGTTTTGCAGGTTTGTGTGTAAGTTAGCTCAGCGCTTTTGTTTTTATTCTACCTCATTTATTTCACTGCACTCATATATGTTGATCAACAACCTTGACACCCATTCAATGGGTCTGGACGGCTTCTTTGTGACGGAGCAAATAGCGAGTGGACTATGCTCCCATGTTCTGAGGGCTGTTCGAAAACGCGATGGCTTATCCGTGGTTCTCAAATGCTATGATGCGGAAAATGCAGTTCCTGGTATGTTTGTGCAAACACAATCGGGAGGTGATGAACCTATACTCAGAGAAGCCTACTTCCTACAAAAGGTACAGGGCGTAAACGGATGTGTCAAAATGGTCGACTACTTTTTCGATGAGTCACGAAATCAGTATGTAATAGTGCTGGAGGATTTGACTTCATTGGGGTTTACCGG